AAAATAAAAAACCTTATGTATTGGCCCAAAATGAAGGAAGATGTAGAAAGATATTGCTCACAATGTGACCTCTGTGCAGCAAAGAAACCTTCCAAAACATCAAATAGAGCCCCCTTACACCAGTATTTGGTTGGCGAGCCCATGGAGCGTGTGTCTGTGGACATATTGGGTCCTCTCCCTCTTACTGAAAAAGGAAACAGATATATACTTGTTATATGTGACTGCTTCAGCAAATGGACAGAAGCTTTTGCCATACCTGATCAGGAGTCTCAGACCATAACCAAAGTTCTAGTAAATGAATTTATATGTAGATATGGAACTCCTCTTCAACTTCACTCAGACCAAGGTCGCTCATTTGAAGCAAAATTATTCAAAGATATGCTTACCATGTTTAGAATACAGAAAACCCGCACTACAAGTCAACGACCTCAAGCCAATGGTACAGTTGAACGGTTCAATAGAACTCTCATAAACATGTTAACTATGTACTGCCTGAAAGACCAAAGGCACTGGGATGAGGTTTTACCACAGGTTATGATGGCCTACAGAGCTGCTGTCCACTCTAGTATTGGCGTTTCCCCTAACAAAATGGTATTTGGGAGGAACATAGTCATGCCCTTAGAAGCTGTTATTCCAAGACCCAAGGAAACAGATGAGAGTGACACTCCAGACACAGATGCATATGTATTAAAATTACAAGAAAATTTAGTTAGGGCACATGAAATAGCTAGAAAGTATTTAAGACAAAATTCAGTTTACCAGAAAAAGTATTATGATTCAAAAGCCGAGGTCAGAAAATTTCAGGAGGGTCAGCCAGTGTGGTTGTACGATTCCTCGAAGAAAGTTGGCGTCTGCAGCAAACTAACCTGTAAATGGAAAGGACCTTACGTTATTACAAAGAAAATTGATGATGTCACCTGTCTGGTCAAGAGGTCAGAAAAACAGCCAGCAAAAGTTTATCATACAGACAGATTGCTTCCTTACAAGGGTAGGAATCCACCGAAATGGTATCAGCAGAGGAGAATTGAACACTAAAAAAAAAAATCCCCAGATTTTGGAAACAGATACATACCTATGATTAAAACTAGATGCAGGGATATTTTTTAAAAAAAAAAAAAAAAAAAAAAAACTTTTTTTTTTTACTTGCATGTTTTGGTGCTGGTGAAGGGAGGTGACGGATGTGTGCGGTCTATGGCCCACATCATGGGTGATGGGAGGGGACGGATGGTGCACCATCTAAGGCCCACACCTCTGATGTAGGGAGGTGACGGATGCGTGCAATCTATGGCCCTCACCAGAGGTTGATACCGAGATGTAGCTGGCCAGTGCATCTCAAGGGTGTAACCAGTGTTGTTGGTTTAAGTTTTACCTGCATCTGAATATTTGAAATTAAATTTTAGTGAATTGCTATCGTTGTTCTTGTTGTTTACTTAGCTTTGGTGGCATCCAATCTTTCCCTTGATAGAATCCTAGATCCTCCACTCATCAATCACAATTACCTCTGCAATCCCCAGTCCCTTGTACCCCGGCCAAATTCCTTGATGAGCCTAAGAAAGCCAAGATAAAACTATTAGACCAATCTAATTTTACTAATTGTTCTCACTTTAAAAATACAAGTTAGATGCAAAAATTTACATTTGAGTTGAAACAAAGTATTTACCTTACCCTGTGAGTCCTTTCCTATAAAATGTATATTGGCCTTGCAGAATGTCCTTCATATGTGTCCTTGAGGTGGATGGCAAACCATGTGGGCTTAAGTTCAACAGTAGGAGGAAGTTGAAGGAACATTTGGCCCCAGCCCCCCACCATGCCTTACGAGTTGTCTGCCCCTTTTGCACCGACAGGGAGGTTACCTTCAACAGAGCAGCTGACCTTAAGATCCATGTTTTGAAAAGACATAAGGATGCCGTAGCTTCTGCTAACGTACCAGCTGATGAGCTCCTGTCAGAGAATAACTGCTTCTGGCTCTCTTACCATCCAGAGCACTATCGGTTTCTTGTGGAACCAACTGACCGCAACACCAGGGCCTCCTCTCGGTTGCGTTCCTTGCTGCTAGAGTGGACCAGGAAAATTTTAGCTTCCTCTGCGGGGCCAAAGGTTCGGAAGACCAGAAGTGCATGGCTGGAGGGGTGGGAAAGTGCAGCTACAGATTTTAGAGCTCCTTCCGGCCCATCGGTTGACCAGCATGCAGTGTACAGCCCTTCTTCCCCTGGCATCTTCACTCCATTGACCATCAACTTAATACCGGGAGAGATCCAGGCAGTGCTTGAAGATGCTGATGTCTTCTTCAAAGTTGGACTAGATGACAAGGTCCTCTTTGATCCGAAGAGTGTAGCTAGTCTAACCAGGAAGATGGCCGTCCAGAAACGACATCTAGACCTTCAGGAGGCTCAGTTCTCCCAGCTGGAAGAGGGACAGTGGAGGCGACAGGCTCCTCACTTTGCCACCTCCCTTGGCATTGAGCCAGACTATCTGAAAGCTGTGTGGAGGGCTGTTAAACCGAAATTGCCTGAGGAACCGGAGATAGAGCTTTTTGCGGAGTCCGACCTGGAATCTTCACCTTCCCCTTCCACTGGCCGCAAGGTTGTAGAGAGGACACCACCCCATGTGACCATTGATCCAGAGCCGGCCAAGAAGAAGCTGAAGTTGGTTGAGGCCTCCATCCCCAGGTTACCTGTGAAACTTCCTCTACCTCCACCTGTAACCACAGTCCTCCCTCCATTAGACAGTATTCAAGTCACATCACTGGCCCAGACTTTATCTGCTTCCGCCACTCCTTTGACCTCCATCCTTGCCACAGCTCCCACCACCCCACTGGCTTCCATCCCTTTAGCCACTCCAACTACTCCATCAGGACCGCTACCAGTTCTAGCAGTTTCCATGGACTGTCAACCTTCTTCCCTGTCTCCTGTACCAACTCTTGGCCCACTAGCCACTAGAGCCCAGTCCCTCCTGGCCAGGGGCTGTATGCCACTTCTACCACCAGCCAGGAGGCAATGGGATAGGGAGGAAGCAGTTGTGTTAGCATCTGGAAGTGTCTCCATGCCATGGCCTCCCAAGGGATTTAAGTCCATGTCCCCTGACAAAAAGCTGATGGAGTTAGAGTTTGCGGCCCTCTCGCTACGAAGAAGCCAGCCGGGTGGATGTAATATTGAGCGCCCCAGCCTTTTAGACGAGTTCAATTTCATGGCCTTGCCTGGAACTCCCACTTTGTCTCCCAAGAAGTTGAGTGCGCCACATCTCAAAAGCAGAGTTTACCTATACAAGCACTTGCGGAACATAGCTACAGGGCATTCAACAGGGGAGGAGGATGAGGAGGTGGTGGAGTTTCTAGAGTCTGGCAGCAGTCGGCGGAAGAGGCGGTGGGATGATTTCATTCGTATTATCGACCAAGCTGGAATTCCACTTAGATTAAATGACTGAATTAAAAAAAAAGAAACGTTTATTAATAATTAATCTTACAAATTTAATTGTGTGTTCGTTATCTTGTACAAAATATTGCCTTAAATTTATATTTTTTTATGCAGAAATATTTTGTACTTAATTCAGGAGAATTAAGAGTTTTGGGTGAGGGAAGTGTAATGGCCATGGAGTAGAATTTAATTAATTAGTTTATTTTTTTTATATGACTGAAATGTGTTATCATTTATTGGGATTATTATCAGGGTGGACTTCATTACGCATAAACTACACTGCTATCTGAATAATAACAGAACGTGGTATCGTCTATTTATAGCACATTTGACATATTTGTTGCATTCATTTATACAGGAAATCCTCCATCCTATGAATTGAAGTACATACCTTTAAAACCTTTCCATGTTACTGTATTTTTCAAAATTATATTTGAATTAAATACGTGCCTAACATTGCCACAAGTGCACACGATTGCAGGAGTCATGGAAGTTGTTTACATCCCGCCGACATCTTATTTGTGTTAGCCATAGTTTCGTATTTGAACAAGTTCTACTTTTTCATGCAATTCGATGTTATAATTGTTTGTGAATATCCACAAAATTGATGTTTGAAGATGTTTTACTAAGATTTATCAGCGGTTTTACTTTAAAGGGGATTTAATAGTAGTTACACATTTTTATTATGACAGAGCTATTTGAATATCGTCTGCTGTACGATTGCAGTTTTCTATCATGAAATATACGTTTAATTCACATGAAATGCTTACTTACAGTTGATGAAAACATCCTCCAGATCCATATCATATTATTTATTATTGCAAATGTAAATATTAATTCCGTTTTGTAGCTGTAATCCACATTGTACGGCAGCCTTGTTTGACGTTGTTTGGCACTGTTTGACAGATCTCTGTTTGTACGGCGCCGTACAATGCTGTGATTGGTCGAGCGTCACCGTACAGCTTTTTCATTCGTTAATTTGTGTCACATGACTACTTCAGAAACTTATAAATATAAGCGCCTCGCCAGTTTATGGCAGATAAGTTGCAGCAGCAGCATCCAAATTCTAAATTCTAGGTGAGGAAAAACTGCCAATTATCTCCCAACACACTGGACACCTGATATTTGATATTTAGAGCTTTTAAATTCCAAATCAACTTTTCTACCCCTTTTACCCTTGAAAGTACGGTTGACGCCACAGACCATAACAAATATTACTTGATATATCTATATGTATCCAATATAGACTTTTGTTTACCATACTATCCTTTCCTGTTGTAAGATGAATTAATAAACCAATATTTGAACTGATACCAAGCTTTGTCCTTACTGAGAATCATGAACCAAGAATATAGGAGTGACCTTGAGAAATGTTGTATAAGTACATTGTATGCCCCCCATTTCAGGATGGCCATCCGTGGGGAGCTTACACTACTTATCGAATATCCACTTTCAAGATTGCAAAACAATGAAAAAGGACTAATTTACACTCTAATAAAATTAAGAAAAAATATTCTTATATCTATGTATTTAAACTGAGTTGTCTTGATATGTTCTCTCTTATTGTCAATCATTTCAATAATTCAGGGACATCTTCGAGTGCTAGCGCCATTGGCAGCTCTGTGTGTTGTTCGTCATCCTCAAGTTGTGGTTCCAGTAAACCACCAGCAACAACAACCGGAAACAGCCTCTTTTTGCAACTTGATTCCGATGGGACTGACAATTCTTACGAAACAGGATTTACAGTTACTGTTGTCGTTGGAAAAGATGAATGTAAGATTGATTGATTGATTGTATGTTGTTTTACGTCCCATTGGAGAATTTTTCACTCATATAGAGACGTCATAATGGTGAGGGGCTTCAAATTTTAACCTTTACTCGGCACTCAGAGCCATTGAGCAGTGGGGGTCTTTATCGTGCCAACACCTGCCGTGAACACGGAATCTCGGTTTTTAATGTCTCATTCGAAGGACTCGTAACTTTCATTTTTAAGTGCCGATCGAGCGCAAGGCAAAGGAACAGTTGCTACTCATTTTTTATCGACTTAGGTTAGTCGCAGCCTAGATTTGAACTCACGACCTCTCTATCACGGAGCGAGCGCTCTACCGACTGAGATGAATGCAAGAGAATTATAACAAATTGTAAAAATATATCTCAGTTAAATAAATATACATAGTTTGCTCATTTGGCTTACCTTTGGTCTTCTTTAGATCTGTAAATGTTTATTTTTTTTATTTTAGCTCCATTCAACCAAGTAACTTTTAATTAATTTCAATTAAATGTCCCGCCAAAATACTGCCTACTTGGCGTTAAGCAATAAACAATCAATCAAAAAATCAATTGAACTTTTGAATATAACTTTGTGAAGCCTTTATGAGTCAGATCAATGATATTTTATTTAAGGAAATATCCTGCAAACAAACTTTTATTAAAACTTATAAAAACAAAAACGAAATATAATATACATACAAGAAGAATAAAGTAGGGCTAATAAGTTAAGCTGCGAAACGTTACAATATCTCAGTAAGGTATTATAAAATGATGGGAAAAAAATTAGAAATTAATGAAGGTTATGTAAAAAGGCACAAAATCCTAATATTCATAACGTCTTATGAATTTTAGAAAACATATTTGAAAAATCATGCGGTACAGTTAAGGTGCCAAATGAAAGTATCAGCGAATTTTTTTTACATAGAAAATACATTCTTTACAAGGATGGGCGATTCTTTTTAGGACTCTACTATTATCGGACAATTGTAATATGGTTCAAAAAACTACATATTGAGGACGGTTAAATTTCTTATTTAGACTTGTCGCTTAATGTGGCAGTCACGTGATTTTAGCAAAATATACCTGCAATATTGAGGTTAATTATAAATTCCAATATTGCAAGGGCATAACCAAGTTAAAAATCTAAGTTTAATTTAGTATTATTTTTTTAACACTCTTTGTAGTTTGTGAAAAGTGCTGCGAACCTATGTAGATTTTACTATCTTATTGCTAAAATTACAGTTGTTAGACAGTATGTTGAATATTTAGCTGGTCAAGTACATAAAATATAGATATAATTAATCCATTTGCAAAATTTCATCAGGTTCGCAGCACTTTTCAAATATCTTCAAACCTCTTGAGGTTATGTGTAAAAGCTTGTTGTAATTCACTGAGGGTATGCCCTTGCAATACATGTATATCGATTTATTACGACCCTTCTATTACCCTTCAATGAATCTGCATACAAATATACGACAGTATCGCTTGTCTAAGGAAAGTACGGGAAGTATATGAATAAAATCTTAAAATAGACATCGCATTCAAGTTAATGGCCTTTTATATATCTGCAAATAATACTTTATTTCATTAAAAAATACATTTTTCATTGTATAAAATATAACTTGATCCGCCTCTCACTGCATACAAACTGCGTCAAATTTTACGATATGACATCACATTGACAAGTGCATGCATTGCTATCAGTGAATTGTTTATATATTGCTGTGTGGGATTTAACAAACGACAAAAATACATGCAATAATAAGTATTCTGTAGTTTAAAGCTATCCAATAGTTTAAAAATCATTTCATTTTGCGGTAATTTGAAGAACATATATTTTTGTGTGAAGTCATAGTATATTAGCATTTCCTGTATAAATTAGGCCCCGCCTTCTTATTGTAGCCTTAACTGTGCTGCGGCTTGCAATTGATTTTTCTTGCAAACTTACATGGACGTCATGCTTATTAGATAAAGTGCAGGCATAAACATGGTTTAATAAAAAAAAAATCCACAAAAACTTCATGATCATAAGTATGTTTACCTTTTCTTCTTCTTTTTTAATTAAATCTCGAATCTTTTGTTTAAAACACTTAGCTAGGTACTCTAAAGAAATTCAATCTATTCAAACATCACGTTACGTATTACGTAACAATATAAAAGAGAGAAAATTTCGCATCAAGGTACCGTTTTTTAGAACAACCAAAAATTGCGCTTAAATACGTTACAATGTTTTTACAACTTTTCATAAATGTACTGAAACGTAATATAAACAAAGGTTGGCGTGTTTTTTTATATCCGGTTTATTACATTGCGGCCTTGCGGCTCTAGAAGTGCCTGGACGTCGAAAGGATATAAAGTGTTCTGGTCAAACATAAACAAAATATTATCAGTGTCTGTTTCAGTCGTCTTATGTACATGAATAAAGCTAACCTGAAAAAAATGACCAAAAATGTGTGTTTTTATACGATTAAGTGGTTAAACGGTTGAACGTCTAGCGCTCTATTCTGTATTTGATTGCCATCCTTATATATTTGTGAATTTGTTTAGAAGGTTCATATCGAAAGTCATCTATCAAACAGTCCTACACGTGGAAATAATGAAAGTCAACAAAAATCACTGCAAAATTCTTTTTCCCATAATGAAGACTCTTAGCTGATAGCCACCAGATAGGAATGTCGCATTAGTTTATTCCACTGCTGGTGATGTACTGCCTCTTTCTGTGGTAGAAACCCTATATTTCAAGAACTTAAGTAAATTGTGCATCAGAATATTTCGGGCACTTTTGCACAGAATAAAGCACAATTTATGACATTTGTTGCGAATTTATAGGATTATATATATATATATATATATATATATATATATATATATATATATATATATATATATATATATATATATATATATATATATATATATATATATATATATATATATATATATATATATGTATGTATGTATGTATGTATTTTCATACAAAACTAACTGCTTTCAGCAAATTGTTCAGCTTCTGGGACATTCAACGTAAATCTTGCTTCAACACTGACATTGACGTCACCCCAATTTCCCGACAAGTATCCCATGTAGGTATAAGATCATTTATAGCGTTTTAAGATATATTTTTCTGGTAACTTTTTCATGCTAAGAATAAGAGGTGAAAGATCTTACTATAAAAAAAGAAATTAAGTATTGTACTTCGTCAAGAATATATTTTATTTGTATAGTTTTCTTATCTTTATATATATTTGCTTGTTTTTATAGAAGTCGCAATTGTACGTACACATACACATATTCAAACGGGAACGTTCAGTTTGAGTTCATATATATGAAAGTGGAGCTATACAGTGGAACGTGCTTCGATTCTGTAGAAATCTTTAATGGTAAAAAGATATAGCTTTTCTTTAAAAAAAATGTATACATAATCTTATTTTTGAGACATTAAATTCCTCGTTACTCAACATTCACGGAAGCAGAGCTTCATATTTTTCAAAGCTATCTTGTTCGTTATGTTATTATGAGTAATAGTTAAAATACACACAGTCACATACTTATCAAGTTTTTGTGTAAAATAGGGTCTTCAACAAGTTCCCCCCTTATTGCCAAAGTATGTGGAGATACCGTCCCAGCACAGAATATCTTTACTTCTTCTGGCACATCTTTGACTATAAAGTTCAGCAGCGATGGTCAGGAGACTAAAACAGGATTCCTGGCTCGTGTGACACCTGTCGGTAAGCAAATAGAATTTACTAAATCAAAGGGTAGATCCTTACTAATATCAGCTATAACCATTACATATATATCTTGCAAATTTCATTTGCATATTTATTTCAGTAACACAAAGTTAAATTTATCAAAAAGATACCATAAGCTTTGTATGAGTCAGAATTAACACTTGTTTAGAAAATTATTAAGGTTTAGAGAATTTTCATTAAGATGAAGATATTTTTGTACAGCAAAAAATAAATTTAACCATTATAAGGTTAAAGAATAAACTCTGGATGCATTTATTTTTATCTATTGAAATAAATCCAACCGTGCACATTTTGGTAAAGGAATGTATAGAGCTATCAAAATTCAATCTACTCCATTGCAAAAGCTATATGAGTTACGAGGATGCTTACTCCTTCGTGGCACCTAATCCCACCTTTGATGTTTTAGAGCTCCGTGTTTGCTCTGCTCCCAATTTGTATTTTTGTATTGTTTCAATAGACTTTTGAGCTTGAATACTGTTCATTATCTTCATATTTCATTCAATAAATCTTAACCAAAACTTACTTTAATAATTGTGTTTATACTTAAGAAATATCACCTAACGCTTTAAGGTCCATTGACTGTATGCTGAGAGAGATAACTCTTAATGGAATAAATGTGTATTTTTTCTTTGTTAATTTGTCAAATTTAAATATCTTTTTGTACATTTTGCCCTGCAAACTATGCTAAACTTCTTTTTTATTTCTTTTGCAAAATCATTAGCGTGAAAGAAACATTTCACCTGAGTGAACAGAGGAATTATGAACCCTACATTTGTATACATGTATGAATAGATCCTTTTGTGAATCACTATTATTCCGCTTTGCTTGAGCAAGAAAAAAAGGAGTATTTTTAATTATTGAAATTCAATTTTTCGGACCAACTTTGTTGTGATTATTATTTACAAAGATATTGACTCTGAAATTTTAAAAATTGGTCACCAATTTATCGTAAGAATATTCTGGGCAAATGAATATTAGTTATATCCATCTCCGATATTGTCATCTAAGATAAAATATTAGCATTATCATATCATTATTATGAAATTAAATGAAAAAAACATATTATTGATTTCAAGCTTAAACAAGTAGAAATCCTTGTTTGATAGATCAAACTGCAGTTTCCAGCAGTGTTACTACAGGGAGCAGTTCTAGTGGTAAGGCTATATATGTATATTAAGCACATGTTACCAATTGCTTATTATTAGCGTTATATATATGTTACAAGGAAATATATACAAAAGTATGAATATATAAAGTATTTGTGTTACATCATTTAATACAGGTGTTATTTGTTGGAAGAGTGAATGCTTTACTCTGAGTGTGCCAGGAAGAGATTAATTGTTAAATAGGAAACATTCTTACGAACTCTATACCTCTTTTTTCTCTCATTCTAGACAAATGAAATCTGTTTAAAAATACCAAATTCTTTAAAGTTTTACGTGATCTAATTTAAATTCATCTTTGAAGTTAAGAAATATATTCTTGAATCAAGGAATGTGGATAACATTATGAGAGAATATTTTGGAATGTAAAATCCTAGCCTAGAGAGCAAGGGTTGTTATTTTTGAATCTTTGAACGGAATAACAGTAAAACGTGAATTCAATCTGTTTCTGCCAACTAATACCCCAAGTAAAAGTCATCAAAAGAAATATATAAACATTGCCTTTTATTCTGTCTGGCTTGTGAATGGCAGTGTTTCTTTTCAAGCATTTGTATTTATCTTCTGTCATGCAGCAGATAAACAATGAATAAAAAATAGGATTGACTAACTTTATTTGATTTATCAATTACATAATTTTAATTAATTTTTCAAGAAGAGATAAAATTTCATTTATCTATTTATAATTTTGCAATGCTTTATTAAATTCATGTTTTAAACATTTAAAATATAACTGATTTATTTGGTCTACAAATTAATGAATGACAGGTGTAAATTTCTTTCGCATTATGTAAATTAATCATTTTTTATTTAGCTTATATAACAACAACAATTAATAATGCAGGCACGACAGGCACGAATGGTAAGTCCAAGTGTAGGACTGTGTAAATGCATGAAATTAATAACCTGTAAAAAAAGAAATGAATTACTATAATCATTTTAAGTGAATGTTTCGTGAGGAGTCAGTTGCCGTATTGAATAATACGCATTTGTCGGTGGCAAATGATCTAAATGCTAATTAGTTAGAAAAATCATATGATGTCGAATGTTAAAAGTTTGGGAAAAAACACCAAAAAAACACTAATGAATGATTACTTAATCATAAATTGATTGTTTTGAACGTTTGTAACAGACATACATTGTATATACATATGAGAAATACAGTCCCGATTTTCTCTGGTTTTTTGAATAGAAGGAAATGTCTATGTTAACAAGCAATATCAAAACCAGAAATGGTACCTTTGAATCTTGAGGTAGACACTTTGCTATAAAGATATTTTGATTTTTTCTTCCAAATCACACATTTTCTCTTTTTTCCTTTAGAATAATACAGTCAATCTGATTGGTTTAGAGCACGTCACATGCAGGGAGACAATTCGTGATGTCTCCCTCACTCGTAGGGTGACAATTGTGTTGTCTCCCATTAAATGAAAATAAAATTTCATAATAGCATAACTCATATATATCATTGATATATAAAAGGGATCGGTTAACAATTCATCTAACGGTGACGTCAAAGTTGTCTTTGACATATTTTGAAAGAGTGGGTAAGAGAACACAAGAAGTTACTACTCTATTCTTTTTTTAAATTTAGTTTCTTCAGGATAATTAAACAATTATGGACTGTTTAGAAGGAAGGCATTACAATTTATCAGGTCTGAGTAGGGTTGTCACCCGCGGCCGCATGCGCCCCCAGGTGACAACCATACTCAGTCCTGATAATTTATGATGTTTCCCTTCAAAACAGTCCATAATTGTATATTATATTTCTGGGGTTTTTTTTTCAAACTTAGCATAAAATAGATAAAGTACCAAGGGTAGTAAGTTGAAATCTGAGTTAAGGTGATAAAACGTGGTTATAGCATCATCAAAGAAGAAAATAAATATTTGCAATGGTCAATTAGCAATTGTTCATTACTACTAATACAATGAGTCATGTGGTACACATCCAATCATCAAAACAAATACCATATCCAATTAAATACACAATCACGCTGTATAATTCCAATAAAAAGAGACCATGCTGTTCAATCAAGCGATATTGTTTCCAAACATTCATATGATACTGTGTAATCACATATTTTCTTAGGGTCAAATTTTTGAGGTTTGAAGAAAAATAATTGGTTAGGGGGGATTTAATTTCGTGGTTGAGGAACTGTTAAGAATTATGTATTTGAAATTTGATATTTACAGTTCGTGGTGGATATGAGTTCGCGGGTCTCCTCATACCTCGAAAACAACGAAAATAAAACAAACCCTTCTCGAAAATTAGTGATTTTACAGTATTGTATAACCATCCTATCTGCCACTCTAACCACCACCCCCGCCAAGATAAAGAGTTTTTGAACATTTATGTATAAATTTTCCTAAGAAATAGCCATAGATTAGGGGGGTTGTGAAAGAAATCTATGTCTTGACAAATAGAACTTGAGATTTAAAGCAACCATGTCAATGTCAGCACGAAAACTATTTTTTTAATTGTTTAAAACATAAAAATAAAGAATAATTGTCATAGTTTTTCTTTGTTTTATGGAGTAATCAATAAGTGTTTATTTAGTTATTAATTTTTTACTTATTCTTAAGTTCACCTGAGCCAAAGTCTCAAGTGAGCTTTTCTGATCAAAATTTGTCCGTAATATGTTGTCGTCGTAATCTTTTCACAGTGTTATCTTCCTCTCCAGATCGAATGGGCTTATTTGACCAAACTTGCCACAAAGCATTCTTGTGTAAAGAGGATTCAAGTTTGTTAAAATGAAAGGGCCAAGGAGAGATAATTAAGAATTAGTGAAAATGTAATGGCATCTATCATGCATCTTCATCTCGAGAACCACTGGGCCTGAAAAATTGAAACTTACGTGAAAGCTTCAATACATTGTGTAGATTCAAGTCTGCTCAAAATATGATTGGGGTAGGATGTGGCCACAATGGGCGATGAAAGTTTTACTTAGAAATACACAGGAAAAATCTCTAAAAACTTTCTTCTCAAGATCAGCAAAGGCATGATTAGTCATATTGATATGGAAGCATTCTCAGGTAGCGAAGATTCAAGTTTGTTCAAATCATGATCCTAGGGGTAAGGTGGGACCACAATGGACGATCAATGTTTTACATGGAAAAACAGGAAAATTTTCTCAAGAACAGTAAAGAATGATTGTCATATTGATATGAAAGCATCCTCAGGTAGTGGAGATTCTAGTTTGTTCAAATCATGGCCCTCGTGTGTTAGGATGGGGCCACAATAGGTGTTCAAAGTTTTACATAGGAATATATAAGAAACAAGAGGCCCATGGGCCACATCGCTCACCTGAGCACATTGACTAGGCAAAAGCACAAATTAGTTCAGTATTGAAATGATTACGGGGGGGGGGACTTGAATTTTAAACTATCTTATGATGCTTCCATGTCATTATAACACATGGTTTTATTGTACTTGAGAAGATTTTTAAAAAAAATTTCCCATATATTCCTTTGTAAAAATTTGATCCCCCATTATGGCTCCTCCCTATCCCAGGGGTCATCATTTGAACAAACTTGAATCTACACTACCTGAGGATGCTTCCATATCAATATGACTAAACATAGCTTTTCTGTTCTTGAGAAGAAATATTTTTTCTATATGTTCTTATGTAAAACTTTTGATCCCCCATTGTGGCCCCACCCTATCCCCTGGGGTCATGATTTGAACAAACTTGAATCTACACTACCTGAGGATGCTTCCATATAAATATGACTTATCATGGCTTTGCTGTTCTTGAGAAGAAGATTTTTAAAGTTTTTTCCTATATATTTCTATGTAAAACTTTGATCCTCCGTTGTGGCCCCGCCCTACCCCCAGGGGTCATGATTTAAACAAACTTGAATCTACACTACCTGAGGATGCTTCCATATAAATATGACTCATCATGGCTTTGCTGTTCTTGAGAAGATTTTTAAAGATTTTTTCCGATATATTTCTATGTAAAACTTTGATCCTCCATTGTGGCCCCGCCCTACCCCTGGGGGTCATGAATTGAACAAACTTGAATCTACACTACCTGAGGATGCTTCCATATAAATATGACTCATCATGGCTTTGCTGTTCTTGAGAAGAAGATTTTTAAAGGTTTTTTCCTATATATTTCTATGTAAAACTTTGATCCTCCATTGTGGCCCCTCTCTACCCCCGGGGGTCATGATTTGAACAAACTTGAATCTACACTACCTGAGGATGTTTCCACATGTGTTTCATCTTTCCTGGCCTTGTGGTTCTTGAGAAGAAGATTTTTAAAAGATGCTATTAATTTTTCACTAATTCTTTATTATCTCCCCTTGAAAGAGGGCGTGCCCCTTCATTTGAACAAACTTGAATCCCCTTTACCCAAGGATACTTTGTGGCAAGTTTGGTTGAAATTGGCCCAGTGGTTCTTGAGAAGAAGTCGAAAATGTTAAAAGTTTACAGACAGACAGACAGACAGACGGACGCCGGACAAAAAGTGATCAGAAAAGCTCACTTGAGCCTTCGGCTCAGGTGAGCTAAAAAGTCTTTAAAAATTTGCTTCTCAAGAAAAGCATTAGTCATACTAATTAGGAAAGTTTCCTCGGGTAGTGTAGGTTCAAATTTTGATCCACGGGAATAAGCTGGAGTGAAATAGTGATCAAAGTTTTACATAAGAATACATAGGAAACGTTCTTCTGATGTAGAACAGCAATACCATGGTGACTCAGATGAGCGTTGTGGCCCATGGGCCTTTTTAAGGGGGTATGTTTTGGGGTTATATTTTAATTAGAGCACATGATAATACATACATAAAGGACTTCTTTGAATTTTTATATAGAACAAAATTATAATTGTATATCAAACTAAAATAGAATATTAATATTGTATAATCGCCCGAAATATATCATATCAAAAAAGGTTATTTATATGTGTATAATTTATCTTGACAATTTGAAAATTTAAAAGTATGTATTTGTCACATATAAGAAACATACATAAAAACTTAAGTATACTAGTACTGTAATTTCACATTGTAGAACCCTCTACTGTTAATGATTCAAGCACTACAACGGGTATGTATTAGAATATCAGATTATAGCGCTTAAAGGGGCATTTTCTGCAGTTGTTTATTTCATTATGTTTTAATGTCAAATAGAAATATTTTAAATATATGAAAATAAACAAACAAAATAAAATAAAATATAAAATATATATTAATAAAATAAAACAAAATAATTATAAGGATATAATATGTCGGCGTAAGAGAAAAAAAATCAATTTTTTAGATTTTTAAATCAGGCCTGTAAAAAGCTTTATAAATTTGTGTGAATTGGTCCATCTATTGTATTGCACTCTGTCATAAATCAGGTGTACATACAAATTGAATTACCCACTAACATGAATTATTTCTTTACGTGTGTAGATATCTGATAATTATTGACACAATTCAATGTAATTTTTTTTTCAAAATGTAGAAGTTAAAATGTAAAAAAAAAAATCGCCATTTTTATATTGAATAAGTTTAATCAAACTTTCGCCGTGAATATGTTTCATACCTTAGTATGTTTTATTAAATATTCACTCATTCATCATTCGACACCTCTACACACGAACATTATTTTTTTTTCTCTCCCATTACTTTAGGTCTAAATAATAAACAAGTGTCTAAGATGAAAATTATCAGGTGTAATGTGTATTTTCATTCTGTTCACTGAGATTTCAGGGCTATTTATTTACATTATAGAAACAAGTACGCAACAACAATATGAAACATCAGGTAACGTCGAAAAAGGTCTGTAGTGGTAAATGTAACATGTATAATAATGCATGATCAACTATTATCCAGTTTGATTTAACGAATTTTCCTTTTTTACCTATATACCTTTCTAATCCATATTCCAGGATACAAGCCATTTTCTAGTGACCAAAAGATATAATATCTCACCCAATATTTTATAAAGTAACCAGTGTGTCTCCTACAACATTGAGATCAAAAAATGTGTACATTTACAAATACATAATTATATATCATCTCTGTAGATAAAAGTCATTAAGAACATGATTACACATGAATGTAGTGTACTGTTCGTTACTTTGCATGGAAAAAAATTACTGGCGATATTTATTTTGCTCAATAAGTCTGAGATTATAATATAAAAAATCATACTCTTCCTACATACTTGGTATTTATAAGTTTTAATTAACTATTTTTGCCACATGTTAGAAACAACTCAACACTATGATGATACCACTACTAATGTTGAAACAGGTCTGTAGTTATATATGCATGTCAAGTATGTTTTGATTCATTTTAAAAACGAGTAAGTTTATTTATCAACACATGATATGCATGTTTCTGATCCGAGCAACTGTATATATTTTTGTTGTAAAAATATAGACAAAACATCTTCACGTATTGATGGTACCACGACGGATATATACGAAGGTGTGTAATATGCATGTTTTAAAAATTGTTTATTCTTCTAAAATTGTTCTGGTATAACAATTTCATATACCTTTTAATCAATCGATTAACTTTATCCAAACGAATACATGCAATATTAAATAATTGACAAAAACATTCTAGATTTGCTGCCATGATAAACTATTCGTTGTGTTACAACTAGATCTCACTTATCCTCGTATTAGATAGGTAATATTTCTTCTACTGACATAATTCTGAAGAACTATCGCAATCAAAAAGAAAAATAAATCTAAAAATACAACTTCAAAAGTAAAGTTCGAAGCAAAACAAAAACATCTTAATGTATTTATGCATATTTTATTATATATTTTATATGTTAGCGTTTTCTTAGCTTTATTCCATAACAATCTATGCATTCAGTTAATGTTAGCCTTAGGTTTATGACGGTGTCATTCAAACAGGCAATGTTCGGGTTAAGTCTCAGTGATTCCAATTTGTGACGCCATGCTTTACTTCAGATATTCTACTTTAATACTAGAATGTATATTTCCTTGAAAATTGACAAATTGCAATAGAAAGAATTGTCAAAACGTGAGCTAATTGATAAAGCAGCTCTTTGGAGGCCAATGAGAACACCTTTTGCACGATATTTTGCTTTTAAGACGTTCATTTTTCCCAAACCAAAGCGTGCTGAGAATGTTTCCATTTGTTGCCTCTCTTTTTATTTTCAATTCTTTAAAAAGCTTCTTCTCTGCTTCTGGGCACCTAAGAAGTTTGATTTCTTGAAATCAAAGTAAATATGCAAAAATATAGACAACGAAATTCGCACCATGGATTCAACTGTATCCATTCTCTGAAAATAAAACAGAAGAGTGTGAAAACCACTATCTATAAGGCTAACGCCTATTTTTAAGGGTTTCGGTCCATTGTTTACAAACACATTCTTTGCGCAAATGGTGTCTTGGGCTCAATAGAAAAAAAAAATTAGTTAAGTCCTACAAAAGATTTATATGACTGATTTTTTAAATAGATTTTTTATTTAACGTAAGGAACATGAGAGAAGAAAGATAATTCAAAATGTATATATAAACATAAAACTGTATAATAAGTGTTCTTCACAGCACAATGGGCATAATGATAATTAGGTGTTGATCTCGCACATTAGTTTATGTGAAAGGAATACGGTATATGATAATATAACTAAAAGAAAGTATCCTTTGAAGATGTTTCCTGTGACAAATTGTAGAAACAACTACTCAGATACAGGGTGAGATGACCACCAGTCTTCCAACAGGTCCGTAATGACACCTTACATTACACTGCATGTGTATTAACGAAAGCCTAATCGAAAAATTAAGCAGACATCTTTATATTTCATTTATCGTTTGCATGTTCATTCAGTTTTTTTATAAACTTCGAATATTCTATTGAATGCTTATTTTCATAATACTTAAGATTTATATTTCATATCAAATCCATATTTAATTTTAATTTTTTTTACTTAACATAATTTTTACCTTTGTTATATATTTGTTAAACCATGGTTTTCAAACATTGTTTCAAGCCATCAAAGCATAAACTTTAAGTTAGTCGTGCCCTCTCAATAAATCTTTATACTGATGCAAAAAATGTAACTAAACATTTTTATCACAATGTTTACACAGCTGACAAGATTCAGTAAATAACGTGGGGAAATTTTGCTAAAACTACATGCTTTGTTTCTAGAATCGACTACTAAGGTGATAAATTTACAGTCAACTACTATAAAAGGTAGGGTATACACATGCTCAATAAACTGCATGGACGCTTGTTTTACTTTAACAAAAGGAATCAAGTCCCATTCCTAACCTGCCCAAACCTTATCTTTTCTAACCATTTCGAATCCTTGCGATTGCTTCCCTAGACCGTGTTTGCTCCCATGGAATATATGTCTTCAATTAACACTGCCTGTAATTTGCCAATCTTAACTGACAGTTTCTGGTGTTCAATTTATTTTTCAAAAAATTAAATAAACAAAGAGTCAAGTAAAAAAAAAGGCCTTGAGGATTTATCATATTTAAGAAATTACTGTCTAGTCTGTTGGGTATGCCAGGGCATTAATGACAGTTGGAAACGTGGGATAATTTGCATAATGGGGTAAGACTGATGAATACATTTTCCATGTTTCCAATTATCTTAAGCACCCCCCTCTCGCCCCCCCCCCCCCCAAAAAAAAAAGAAAAATAGACAGCAATTCTTTTCATTCATATTAAATGTGAGTATGAATCAAAAAAGCTGTTTAATGGAATTGAAATACACGAACCATGTCAATTTCCATAGTCCCTACCCACTGACATCATACACAATGTCAGCCCGGGAAAGTAAACATGCTTATTAGGCACTTTGACCCCTCACTTGGCGAAATTTAAATTCTGTTGTTAGTATCGAGAAATTAACACACCTGCCTTTCAAAGAATTATCAAAGATAAAACAGTTGGAAACGTAAATATTTTAAAATAAAAATCGTTATTATTAATTGCAATTTAAAAACCTTACTTGTAGAAAAGACAACAGAGGGCGTAACATCACGAACGACTACTGTAGCAGGTATGAGGAGAATGAGTTACTTGCTCTTATATTTGGCTTAACTCTCATTCCTTTATTTCCTCGTTATACTATCAAATTGAACCGAAGAATCCATTTTGAAAGTTCATGGCATGATATATTGACAAGAAAAATCTTTTGGTACCTAAAATATCCGATATGAATTGCGGAATATATCACTGATTCAAAATGGGTGCATTATCTGATTAAATTTAGAAGTTTTATGACACCAAATATAGACACCGATTAATGATGAAATATTTACAACTCAACAAACGATTTATCAAGAATGTATCGAGTCAAAATGTGTTTCGTTGTCGTGTCGAGCAAATGAAATATTTTTAGGTCATGACATCTCACATATCTTGGAGTTGAGGTCGATGCGGAGAGAAGTTAGAGCAGTCAATAAATTTTCTGTCCCTACAAAACCATGTGTTTATATGCATAGTTTATCTCTATTATCAAATATGTCTTTGCATTTCAGATTATTTAACACTCATATATTATAAAACTAAAAGGTATCAAGTTTTAATCTCCGTACGTCACAGATAAGATAATATTTATTTAAAGTCGGGTAAATCAAACAGAAAACATTAGCTCTGAAGAGCTATTTTCCGACTACATAATAATATTACATATAATACAACAATACAGAATAAACAAGAAACAGTACTTAAAAATCACACTACTAAAATATCAATATACCCCTTGATGCATTACAATGACATATGACATAGTATTCATCACAATAAGACCAACAAACTGAAATAAACCCTGTTTACTATTATCTAAAAATAAAATTTATAATTAGCGACAAGCACAGCAATTACAACTATTTCCGTACCAACTACTTATGTTTGATTTGAATTGGTTAAAAGTAGTAATATTTCTAAAAGATCCTGGTAAAGAATTCCAGAGTTTTGCGGATTCTGTTTTTGGTAAAACAGCAGTTTTCGTATATCTAAAAGAATATTGCGTTTCTTTGATATGGATAAAATCGTGCAGGTAAGATGGGCTTTGTTTGTTTAAAATCTTAAAACATTCCATGGCCATTGTTCTAATACGCCGGAGTTTGAGGCATGGCAATTTTGATTTATCCAGAAGATAACTATATGAGTTTTTGTAGTCGTCATAAATGCTCTTTAATTCCTGTATTTTTTTTTTTCCATTTTTCTTGTCTCTCTTTGACCACAAAAATGCCAAACTAATGGGCAATAATTGAAGCTTGACATGATAAATGTATGATAGATTGTTAGTTTTCCAAATTTAGTCAGGTGAACCCCTATTCTTTTAAGTACATTCAGTTGTTGTGAAGCTTTCTTACAAATGTTTGAAATATGAGAGCTAAACTTAAGTTCAAAATCTATAGTCACGCCAAGTAATTTTACTTCGTTTTCCAGATTAATCATATTACCATCAATTTCAAAACAAATGTTTTCTTTTCTTTCCGAGACATATAGCTTGAAATTTATCAGGATTGGCTTGCATTTGGTTATCCTCAAACCACTTAACTAGGGTTGAACAATTAGCTTCTAATGTATTTTTTAGTGAGATAATATCGTCGCTCGAGTTTGAGAGAGTGTTATCATCGGCATAGTTGTAGAGGTCGCAATCAGATACAAAATGAAAAAAAAAAAATATCATTGATAAAAATATTAAAAATAAAGGACCAAGTACTAAACCCTGTGGAACACCTTTGTACAATTCTAAAAAAATCGCTACAAACATTTCCCAGTTTCACACATTGTTTTCGATTGCTTGAATAGCTTGAAATTAGACTTGTAGCTGCATTTGTAAAACCATATGCATTTAATTTTGCTAAAACTAGATCATGTGGAATACAATCAAAGGCTTTAGATCCATCATAATTGCTGCAGTATATTTCCAATCTTCAACAATTTTTAGCAATATACTCTGAAAGCAATATCCTGGGCTAAAAGCTGATAACATATCATTAAAATGGCAATTTAAAAAATCAGATAATTGACTGTGAATGACCCTTTCAAAAATCTTTGACAATGTAGTTAAGATACTAAAGGGTCTGTAGTTTCCCTTTTCCAAAATACTGTTTTTCTTATGAAGAGGAACCACTTGTGCTATAATTTTCATACGATCTGGAAAAACATTATAAGATAAACAAAAATTTACAATATTAGTTACAGGGTTCAAAATATGTTCATGGCTAAGTTTAACAATCTTTGCTAAAATACCATCAATTCCAGTAGCCTTTTTCAGGCCCAATTTGTTTATGCACTTACTTACAAAGAAGTTGTAGATGAGATGTTGCGAAATCTGGTATAGAGACTATTAAAGTATTATTCAATTTTTAAGTCCTTCTTTAAAATTTAATAACCCTCGGCTAAATTCACGTTTAGGAAACAGACAAATAGTATCATTCGATAAAACTTAATTACTGATTTGTTTGTAGACACCACAAAGACGGAAGTTACGTCACAGCCCACTTTGACTGTGGGAGGTATGAAATGCTTCATTCATAGCGAGATTCCCATCTAAACAGTCTCAATCCCGTGAAACCAAATACTTTTCAGTTATTGTTTTTTTATATATATTTACGATTAGTAAATTAAGATTTAAAATTTTATTTATAATTCATTGTCAACAAAGATCATTTGATAATTGCATGAATAAAAAAAAACATTAACGTGTATATACACAGACACTGGGAAAGTCTTTAAAAATTTTGATTATAGAGGCATGCTGTATGAAAATTGTGCAAGATTCCTTCATGTTGCTTTATTTGTTAAAATATTCTAGACAGGTTTCTATTCATGATTGCTATGCATGATCACTGGTATATTATTTCAGATACTGAATTGTTTATATAGATTGTAAAAAAAAAAAGGCAAGTAAAAATTAAGTAGCATATTCCAGAATATTACCTTCAATGTGAGGGGTTTTGGACGATAATTGTCAATCAAAACTCAGGTGTCAAGCGTCATTTATCTTTTGTATTACACAGTTGTAGGAGAAAAAGGGTGTCTTTTAACTGAAAACAGTTTGCTCATAAGAACATGAAAAATTAATACTCAATCCTTTTAATTTGATGAAACTGTACATAACAATTCTGTTTCTAGACACCACAAAGGCGGATGTTACGTCAAGACCAATCTCAGTAAGAGGTATGAAAAGCATGTGCGTGTACGCAATACCAATGCATATGCATTAGCATGTTTCTTATCAAAGTTTTACAATAGTTCCAATAAATAAGAACTGTAATACTTTTTTCTGATATCTGTTTTTGAATTTAAACAATAAAATGCTTTCTTTGGTTGTTAGTACGGGAATTAATGTTGCAGCTGTTGCAGAAAAAATACATAACCCGCGTAAACATTTTATTGTTTATATTTATATCTGAAATAAATAATCATTTAAAGTAGGCTTAAAATGATTAATTATTTAATAGTATTATTGATAAGTACATCATAGTACGTTTAATTGATGGAACAGCCACTGATCAAGAAATCTGTACAGGTGATATGCCTAGTGTTGTTCATGAACTGATAAACAGCAATGGTTTTCTTTAGATATAACGGAGAAAATATTCAGTGGATGTAAATATATAAGTTTTCCCCATAAACTTTCATATATAGTTATTGAATTTAAATCATAAATTCAATTCATCAGTCAGTATCAATGAAATTATTATAACTGCAAGAATGAAACCATATAAATATACACAGACAGTGCAGAATGTCTTAATAAATTTTGGTTATGAATTTTATTATGAAATGCAGAGGCATGTTGTACGTGTGTCGTGCGAAACCAATATATATCGCTTTATTTATTACTATTATATTTTGAAGAGATGTTACTATTCACATAATTGTTAGTCTTGATCATTTGTAGAAAATCTTATTAAATTTTTGTCGACTTAAAATGTTAGATTATCTTTAACACATACATCGCTTTTTACACCGTACAGTGCAGGTGATTAACTTTAATCTTCGTAGATTTATAGAGAATAAAGATATGTTTTATCACATGAATTGAAGGTTCATCGTTTGGTGATTTTTTTTAATATGAATTCATACGAAGTATTTGTTTATCCGTAAACCAAGTAAAAACTTGGTGCACAGTTTACGGTTCCTTTAGACTCTGTTATTTACATTAAAAGGTTTTTGTGAGGTAACAATAAAAATATATTTTAATACTGCTGGGCGCTCTGTACCCTTTGTCTTTGCGTTATTTTGAAAATTTACAAACAGGTATTTGGCACCATATTGACTTCATATCAACAAACACAAGGCTCAGGGATTATTTTCTTCAATACACATTCTCCATTTAATTATTAATTTAATTTTCCTTTCAGACAATAACAGTCCTTTTATAGCTGACAGTACGGATAGCAATGGCGGAGTAATTGCTGCTGGCGTCACAGTGGCGTTAGTTGTAATCGCCTTGTTTGTGGCGGGAGGTGTCATACTATTTAAAAAGAAGAAAAAGCGTTCGATAGATATTTATGACTAGAAAAAGAATGAAGACATACAAGAGAAAATTCCGGACGTTCGGAATGAAGTTCAGTTATCATCCTCTCCAGCCGGAACTAAATGTGTCACGTGATCAATAGCCTTTGTTCTATGTTTGTTATGTTGTATATCATTTTCAATATATAAGTTTTTGGTTAAGTAAGGAACCTTAACAAATTTAACAATGCTATTTATTGCATATACATGTAAAAACATTGTTGTTTATAACTATCTCATTTGTTTATAAATATAACTAAGTTTCCACTGTTTTGGTAGCTGTCTTTTTTAAGACATCTTGTAAGTGAAAGATAACCTGACTGAATAAGTTAGGCAATGTTGAGTGTTAATCTTATTTCTGCTATACAATAGAGCATCCAGTTAAAATGTATGTCTTCATAATAAATGAATTAACTAATTATCCGCTGAAGTGTTGCTTTTCCGATAAAATATATGTTTATTTCTTTTAATATAGATTGTTGGTCATGGAATAAAGTCTACATACACTTAAATTCATCATTTATTTATGTATAGAAGTTAACACTTTTCTACATGATGAAACTTATGAATAAACAATATCAACGAAAACAATATCATTGTTAATGTCCTCGATAGCTGTATATCATTAGACGAATTGATTAAAAGTGAACACAGTTTGAAACAATTTGTTTGATCGTTGTGCGTGGACTTCCAAAGATTCAGAAAGCATGTTTTATTTTTTTTACTTTACTTTGATACTGTAGTTTAGAAAAATACAGGGCCAGATTTGTATTAAGGATGTACAACACACACACACACCCCTCCCAAAAATTCCTATCGTTTAATTTTCTTTATTTCCGTATATTTTATACATGATTATATCTACTATTTGTATGCACATTTTGGACAAAATCGTTCGAGTCATATTTGGACAGGAAGTTCCAAAGGTTACCTCCCTATGGCTGTTCACGAGGAAAAGAAATTTTCAACTGACTAAATATAAAATCCTTGTTGTTCAAAAAAAAAAAAAAAAAAAAAAAAGGAAGATTAGCCTAGCTGTCAAATTTCAGTGACTTATTCGTTTAGCTATTAAACATACAAACAAAGTAATTTTGTAGGGGTACAAATCAAAAGAAACAATTTTGAAGAATTTAAACTGAAAACTATGGTTAATCTTAGCATTGAAAAGTGCGTGTTTTTTATGGAAAAAAAAAAAAAAACAAAACAAAACAAAACAAAAAACAAAACAAAAAAAACCAAACTATCGTTTAATTTTGGAAAAAATAATTTCTTCATGAAGCTGGTTGCCAAAATAATCTTGAAATATTTTTTGTATTTTTTTAAACGACAATTTTTGAATTAATAGCGAATCCCCCCCCCCCCCCCTTCTCCGTAAGTAACGTTTCTCACTGCGTCTTTCAGACTTGGGACAAAAACAATGCTATGAATCTACAAATACACATAAAAATTCCAAGCTGGAAAAAAGCTTTTGCTTTTAAAATATTATTTACATTATATTTTATCGCAAACTTAGAACTTAACATTTGCATTTAAATGTAGATGAATATGGAACTTCTGAAATTGTAAGACCCCCTCCCCTTCCTTTCTTCTTTGCAACGCAGGCCATTCGAGCTTGATGAAACATCGGTTACATCTGCAGATATAATTGGTGTATTGAATCCCCGAAGTACTAATTCGTTCATGCATGTATGCAGATTTAATACTGACTGCTAGTATGTTTCGTTTTAATATTGTATTGATTTTTATATTTTCTAAGGATTTTATGTGCACGTGTCCGGTTTATAGTCAATACATGTACATGTATTCAGTTTCACATCTCTACGTGAATTCAACTTGCATTGAATTTTAATTTTTTTTAGTGAACGAACATTAATATATGTCAACTCCCCTTTGCTGTAAATGGAATATTGATATTTTTTTAAATTTATTCAAACAAGAGAGGGATGGGACCCCCCCCCCCCCCCAATAGTATGTATCCCTCTGTTGCTTCGATAAATAAAATGGAAATTCCGTTTTCGCAAATATTATCTTCAATGTATGAAACTGTAAATTCTTCATCTATTTTTAAATTATTCATATGCCTGAATAATCATCTACAATGGTACCAAACGTTTTGATTTTATTCGAGGAAATGCGAGATGACTTTCACATTTGCAAAAGTTATAAAGTCTTTGAGGTTCTTTACTAATATTTATTAACAATATGTACAAACACAAACTTATCCGTAGGTTCTGGCCCGGGCCGACTCCCCTCTCCGCTGCTGTCCCTGACACGTCCTGTCAGCTCGGCATCCACGTGTAGAAGAGGTCCGTGCGACTGTCCCGCCGTCTGATGTAATACAGACAGTAAGTCGTACCACGGGACAGTCGCACAGATACTACACTCCCCCCTGTTTTCTTTGAAAGGCTGGAGTCTACCACAGGAAAGAGGGTCCGGAACCATCTCCAACGTTGGGGCACTGTTAACACCCTCCCGGGCTAACTGCTCAAGAAATACAAGTGCAAGAGCAAGCTCCAGGCAAAACCACACCCAGGATTAATCCTAGGTAACAAGTCCGGGATTACTCCCAACCAGGTGGTTTGTCCGGGATAATTCCCAGACAATCATCCTACAGCTGTTTAACGATAACGGAGTGGGCCAAGATCATCAGGCCCACTCACTACTGAGAAACTGTGACACCAGTCACACCATCAGGCCCTGGAGGGTAAACTCACCCTCCGGCGTCGCCCACGCCTCCGCCTTGATCTGTATAAACGACATGCACTGTTCTCCTCTGGTGTCGCACTGTCAGACGACAAGGAAATGCAAGAATCAAATGGGGTTGTCCCCACTTCCGCATCATGGTCCTACGTGACCCCATCTATATCTACCTCCAGGGTGGGGCCTTTGTCCACAGAACTCAGTGATCCCACAGAAACTTGACCATAGGCCGCCTCATTTGAAGGTTGGGCTAGTCTTGGGGAGAGAGGTGTAACACCGATATCCTCAATACCCGAATCCAATAATGATTCCTCCATCATCTCTTCCACTGGGCCTGGCATACACAGTCCACTTCCGGGATGGGCCAAAGGCGCTACACTGTCTAATTCCCTCACTAGGCGAGGCACAGGTATACAAAGGTCTGCCTCAACTGGTGTGCCTCCTGTCAAGGTCACTCTTCCCTCTGACACATCTGCAGACCTCCTAAACTCCATCTTTATTGCCTCATCCCCAAGAGTAAGGGTCCCTTTTCCCAAGTCAGGCTGGGCTTTCCGGGCACGGAAAAACTCCATGCCCAGCAACATTGGGTCATTCAGAGGGGCAACATAAAGCTCAACCTCATGTGTCTCACTACCGAAAGTCAGGGTCACGGGTCCAACTATGAATCCCTCCAACTTGGAATTCTCCCCAGCCTGTATCATGGTCACATGTTCCCGGATTGGGGGTTTAGGCTTCAGTTGGTCATACACCCTGGTCGACAACACGCTGACCGCAGCCCCAGTATCCACTACTGCTTTCACCCCGATGCCTTGCACGTGCAGGCTAATGGTAAAGCCCACAGACGAGCTTGACTGTCCTTTGGGTACAGAGGGTTCCTCCCCTTCACACACCGGCGACATCAAGTCAAAATCACAGGGGTCAATCCTCCCCGAATCCTGGGATTCATTACCAACCATGGCTGGTCCAAGTGGCTCCAGACTGGAGTAGAGAGCTACAGGCTTCCCCGCCTCCTCTTCCAGGGTATCCACTTCCTCCTCAGCCATGCAAAACCCAGGTGATGGTGGCATCTCAAAATGCACCTTCATTGTGCCGATGCCGCATACAGGAGCGGGGAACACCGATCCCCAGCTCCTTGGGATCCAACCTACGGGACCTTTCTCCAGTGGATCCTTTTAGCCTAGCCCCGCCCCTCTGCCCATCAGTAGCCACTGTGTTTCCTGTAGCTCGGGTGGGGCAATCTCTACGGAAGTGCCCCACCTCTCCACACTTGAAACATACGGCAGGCTTCTGGTCTCGCTCCGTCCATCTGGGTGTCGGGATACCATTCCTCCGATGTCTCTGAAGGTGGGCAGCTTCCCTCTCCCTAATCAACTCCTCAATCTTCTCGAGCCTGCTCCGGAGGGCTTCAAGCTCCTCCCTAGCAGGGACATTTACTGTCCCGGGATCATCCTGTTCAGTGTCCTCACCGAGGATCAACTTCCGCACCTCTCTCTTGGCTTTAGGCCCATGTAGCCGGGAGTGCTGGTAGTATTGCATTTGCTCCACGGCTTCCTCCACAATCCAGGGATGTCCGTCGAGCGCATAAAGGCCAGCATCACGGTTCTCGGCCCCATAACACAGCCGAGGTATAGCTTGGGTGTGTACATCAGGCACACCAGGGAAAGCTCGAGTTGCTAAAGTCAGCACCCTGTCTGCCCACTGACGAAGTGACTCTCCTGGATTCTGATTGGCAGCCTGGAAGTTGAGTTGATGAGTGAGATCGGGGGCAGAGGAGCCAAAACGCGTCTCAAATCTCTGCAAGATCTCACCTAGGCGGAGCTGGCTACTGGTTTCTAACAGCAAGGTATAGTATTCGCTTGCTGCCCCTTCAAGGGAAAAACAAAACTGGTCGTGCTGCTTCTCCTCTGTCCATAGCTGGCTGCGAGATAACCTAACGAACTTGTGCAAAAATGCCTTCCAGCTGGTCTTACCATCATACCTAAGGTCCTTATACCGGGACTTACTCCCAGTGGCTGCCCTAACTGGGTATGGTGTGGTGCCCTGGTAACCAGGTGAGCCATAATGTATTGGTGTACTAAAGTTGCAAGCCTGGTTAGCCAGGACTGACTGACTAGCATAGTATCCCGTATGGGCTGCCCCATACATGTTTGGCTGCACATGTGCTATCCTCTTCCCCTCCCTTCCAAAATGGCAGGCAGGGGTATCGGGATGGGCAGAACTACAAGTCACTAACACAGGAACACTATGGTGCTGCAGTGCACTGGGCATAGCCATACCATGGAGTGTGGCTGGAGTACTCTCGCCTCGGTACAACACAGAATGGGCGTGGTTGGGTACTGGGGGTTGGGCATGCCTACCCCCAGGATTGGTGTACACTGATGGGGGCACATGGTAAGGTGTGCTTGTGGAACTAGCATACAATGATGTAGGTTGGGGTCTGGCAGCAGTCACGCCAGTGTCTAAAGATCAAGAGACTAGGTTACTATTTTCTTGTGAATGAACCAGCGCTGGGGACACTCCAACATTTACAGGGGCTGGGGCAGATATAGTGCGCGACATTGAGCTCCGGGGTTGCAAATCATCCCCAGGGAGAGAGGGCGCACCAAAATCTGCTAGTCTAGGTTGGCTCTGTATGGGTGCAGGGTCCCAGGTGAGCCCTACAGGATCTACGGGCCTCACATGATGACGATCATACTCAGAGGTGAGCTGTGCGGATCTCACAGGCCTCTCAGGTTGCTGACTAACACACAGTGTATGGGACGGTAGGGTGGGGTCAAGTGGGTGTGGTACAACCTCACCCAAGCGGCTTGGTCTATAACCCATGGTGGCAGGGCCCCCCAGGTTAGCTGTGTCTCCCACAAGGACAGGGTGGCTACTACTAGCTGGTCGCACATGGCCTAAGGAATACGGATGGTTTGATCCCGGATTCAAGGGAACCTCCCTATATTCATATTTAGGTGGGCTACAACCCACAGTGCTACCAGGTGAGCCACACCTACACGGGCTACCTAGAGAGGCCTCCAGGGAATCACTGGTCATCATCCCTGGTAAGCCAAATTGAGGCTGGGCAAACCTTACCTCTTTTCCTGACTTTCCATGTAATACACTACCCTCCCCACAGGGGATGCCCGAGTGCAGGCATGGCATAGGTGTAGAGGGACCCCCCAGGGGCAACCCCCCTCCCACGTGGCCTGACATTGAGCAAAAGGTGTGTGACGGGAGGTGAAATGTTCGCTCCCGCTATAAACATATGGTGAATAACTCCCCTCTCCAGGGTAAACCCCCATCCTACACGGAGAACGAAGATTGAGATTGTCTGACCGCCTGTCAGCCGGGCGAGTGCCCAGGCCTAAAGCCGATACGGCTTCCTCTACCGACATATCCATAATAAAATATCACAATAAATCAGATAAAATCACAGACATTACAAATTAATTCTGAAAGTTGATTCAAGAAATACATTAAAAAAAACAACACGTGCTCTCATATACCTAGCAGCACCAAAAATGGCGGCTAAAACGATGCCTGAAAAAAAAAAAAACTAACTTTGACAGCAGTACGGGAATCTCCCGGGCCCCGCGAGTTAGGCGCCAGTAAAGTCTTTGAGGTTCTTTACTAATATTTATTAACAATATGTACAAACACAAACATATCCGTAGGTTCTGGCCCGGGCCGACTCCCCTCTCCGCTGTTGTCCCTGACACGTCCTGTCAGCTCGGCATCCACGTGTAGAAGAGGTCCGTGCGACTGTCCCGCCGTGTGATGTAATACAGACAGTAAGTCGTACCACGGGACAGTCGCACAGATACTACAGTTATTTCCCTTTGTGGGGTCAATCAGGGGTCAACCGGTAAGACACTGTTTTCCCTCTATACCATTACCAACTTTATGGGGCAATTTCTTGCAAATGAAATTTGTATGAATATGTTTGTTATGTTTTTATGTTGCCCCATACAATGGCAATACAGGAACAGATCAAATTTGTCCGATAGCGTTTAAAGGTTGAAAATATTTACAGGTAAGTTACAAAGGTTAAAGTGAGAAAAATGAGCGTTACGCCGACAACGGGAGATAACTCTTACGAATGTGAAATTCGTCAATTAAGGAAGCTCCAAACACTGCACACTAAAGAATTCTATTTGTAGGGTAGTTTTTATTGAGTTAGAGTGATCTGCCCTTAGAAGAAAAATAGTATAAATGGGAATCTACAGTTAATGACACAATATCTTATGAACTAAAGTATTCTTAATGTTATGTTAGACCAAGATTAAGTAATTGAATACATTATTTCCATTAATTTTCCCGATGCAAGTAAACAACAGTGATTTCTGTTCACAAATAGTTCATTGTCTTTGAACATTTTTTCTGCAGAAATAAGGCAGGCACCCTTTGTTGAAAATGAACTAGATACACTGAATATGTGCACCTTTATATGATATATTTTTCTCAAAGCTCAAAAAGCATTTTTCATTAGTGTTTAGAGCTTCCTTAATTTCAGTGAATAATTCTTTTTCACTTTCGATACTTACTTTGTATTTATTATGGTTTCCAGTTCTTGTTTTCATTAGAACTCCTGTAAATGTAGGCTATTGGTGTATTCGTGAAAAAATATAGATCTAATATTGTCTGCGGAAAACAGGAGGAATAACAATCTCCTATGCAAAGTTGTCGTTCGTTCCTCTCTCAGACACAGTGAATGTATGAGCCTATGGCAGAGAGTGGAGGAATAACCCAACTAAGGGGAGGGAAAACATAATTTTTATACATTATTTATTTTTACATTTTTAGAGTTGTTCATCTTTGATTAGTCACCTTCTGAAAACGGTAAAAGTTTCGATTATGACAACTTTTTCAAAAGTAAAGACAGCATGCGTGGATCTAGAGGGGGACGGGGGTGATCCGGATCCCCCTCCCTCCACTGGAATTTGCAGAGTTATTAATTGGATATAATGAAGCAAATAAAAATTGACTTTCGAACCACCCTCCCCCCCACCCCCATAATAGCATGGACTACTCCACCACCACCAGCAGGAAACAGGGATTTTTTAACGTTTGGTAATGGTAAAGAAATTTTCTGGGTTTGCTATGCCTTTACTTTTGGAAAGGCGTTAAGGTTTTTTTTTTGTTTTGAATTGTTTTGTTTTGTTTTTTTTTTGGGGGGGGGGGTCGTTGTTTTTTTTTTTTTTTGTTTTGTTTTGCTTGTCAAGTAATTTCTGGATTGGAATTTTTTTTTACCTTGGAGAACCCCCCCCCCCGGAAAAATTCCTTGATCCGCGCCTGGACAGTATCTATTTGATAATTTTAAGACGGGCCTGTAATCTCAATGTTAAGTGGCCAATTGCAACGGAAAAATGCAATGTAGCATAAAAATTTTCAGATTAAAAAATGCTTTGGTATAATTACGAATACAATTTAAAGTATAAATTAAATTAAAGAAATTTAAATTAAATAAATTTAAGGTTATAATCTTTCTTTTCCTCCTTTTTAGGGGGGGGGGTATTACAAATGCGCAAAAAATCAAGTATAGGATTTGTTAATCATAAAGAAACGACAATCAAAGTATCTTAACCAATTTTTCCTTTAAATACATTGGGATTATATCGCTGGTCATTTTGACGCTCAATAATTAACGTCAAATTTAATGCCAAGTATAACATTTAATTGAAATTGCAAAAGTTATTCTCCCCCCCCCCCTTCCGTGTTGCACGTACCTTGTTCTTTATCATTGGGTGAGGGGAAAACATTACCAATTTCGCAGTTTTATCAGAGCTGGATAGACAACCAATATTTATTCTGTTATTATAGCAAATATCTCTTACTGGAATATAGACTTGAGAACATGTCAGAGAATTCTTTGTTATAAATGCATATAAAGAACGCATCATCTTGGACAGTTGTAATGTAAATAGTTGGTTTTCAAATGTAACATATTTAGTAAGAAAATGCAAAAAAAAAAAAAAAAAAAAAATGACGTCACAATCGCATTCCTTTACAAAACAGTGCGGAGTTTCCCGAAAGTGACAGAGTTAGGGGGTTTAGCGATAATCGAATATTTGATAGAAAATGAATAACAAAGATATAAAGTGTCATTCATACAAACAAAGGCGGTGCATTTGCTCCTGCTTTTGCAATCAGAAGAATGGACTGCTAGTCCAATTATTGTGCACTTGTGTACGGGAAAGTACTAACTGGGCTGAAAGAGACCTTTAGTTACAAGTTTCGGCCAAACCTGTACATATGACGTCATACATGTATGTGGTCTTTGCAATTATGACGCGTTGTGTTTAGGTGTATTAACCATTTTGAACTATAGTAGGGAGTGATCCACACGTAAGTAGAAAACTTGCATGTTTATTTTAAGAATATTGCAATTAATGTTAAGTCGTTTGAATTGAAAACTGCATGTTAAACTATTAAATTGCTTCACTCAGTGTAAGGGATGTAAAAAATATATCTAAACGCAGAAATATTGTTCCTATACCTTGAATAAGTCCATGGCCAGTGAGTCTACGACAGTAATTATTTGCTTGAGGTTAAAATACAATTATGTAAAAGATTAGTGCAAATAATGTTTTACAGAATCGTTAACCAATTTGTCAACACCCCCACCCCATCCCCCTATGACAGGAGAGATCAAGGACATACATTAAATTTCACATGCATAATTTTGTCTGTTGTTCATGCAGAGAGTACGATCACCTCTCAATTCAACAACCTTCTGCATTAAACATTTGGGATACAATTTACAGGTTTAACTTAGATCCAATATTTCAAAAATTTAAAAAAAAATTAAAAAGGGGGCCTTCTAACACTTAAAAGAAAGAAAAAGAAAAAACAAAAGATTGGCACACAAACATACATAAAACAAAACAAAAAACACCTGAATAACTGTAAAATATATATAGAAAAAATGGAAAGTTTGTACACGTTCACTAAATCTTATTTCCCGTTTTACTGCGAAAATCTCTGATTGACATGTATGTGTATTTCCCACTATTCCATATTATTCAGTAGTAATTTCTAGTTATCCTTTTCTAGTAAATTATCCTTTTTCATAGCTTATAAATTTCAAGACTTACGAATTCGAAGTTAACTTATTTATTCTTTACCTTAAATCTCCCGTTCCTGGTGTTTCGAAGTCTGCTACATGCACTTCCGGTATTATGCTTAACTAAAGTAATTTTTCTATCACGTCTAGGACTAAGAGTGTATGTGTACGTTACAGAAACACGTTACAAATCTCTTGTACGCAGGTGAGTTAAGGCTAAATATAGGCATTTCTATGCAAATAATCTAATTAAAATGCCTAAGGACTATATCTATTATACAGAGAAAGTTAAAACTTATTGTCTAATACATACTTGATACCCACGACATGAGATAGCCAGTACACATAATGACGTCATATTATGACGTCATTGTCCTCTACTACACAAGAATATAAAGGAGATCAACAAAAATGCTTCGGCGCAAGGGCATGCTCTATTTTATTTAACTGAAACAAGGTATATTTAGAATCAAAATATTCTAAATTTTGCTGGTATTGCTGCACAAATATCAACAACTCAGTCGTATATTTTCTATTAGTAAAGTTTTATGTTGAATAAGGGTAAAAATGTAATGTTCGGTATAAGTTTCCTCAAATTCCGATCAAATGAGAAAATGCCTGGGATTTGTGCAGCAGTTTTATCAATCTTTAGAATAATATTCTTAGCATTACACAATTTTTATGTAAAAATAAATAGGGTAATCCCTTGCGCCGAAGCTGTTTTGTTGATGTGTTTTATTACCTCCAGTAGGCAAGATCAGTGACGTCATAATATGACGTCATAATGTGTACTGGCTGTAACATATCGTGGGTACTAAGTATGCATAAGAAAATAAATCAAAACTTTCTCTGAATAATAAATAAACCTCTTATGCGTTTTTATTAGCTGATTTGCATAGAAACGCCTATATCTAGCCTTAACTCACTTGCGTAACTAAAGTTCTCTTTTTGAGAAAGACTCGAGTCTTGTAAAATATATACGCTTTAAGCAATCCAACTCAGTGGCGGATCCAGGAATCCTGATAAGGGGGGGGGGGGAGACCAGTTTGGGGTCGGGGTAGGGGCCCACAGCCACACCCAAAAAAATGATTTATTAAATCTTATGTATATTTTGGACACAAAAGGGGGGGGGCCTAATTAATCTGCCAGTACAACTCTAAAGATCTCGTAGGAATCTTAAAATTGTTGAGATCGGGATTTGCATTGTGTACAGTACAAACTGGTTAGTGTTTGTGTATCAAAATATACTCATTTGTATTATCCAAAACATGTGCAATTTACAATTGAAAAATCTATTATTCGTTGTTTAAAACATCAGTTTGATCTTTGAATAGTTTTGAAGGACTCCAAGGAAACTTGATGTTATCGTTTCAGAGGTTGAATTCATAATAATTATAGAAGCACATGACTTAGCTACATCTGTGCAGTTTTGATGCTTTAGCGTTAAGAAATGTTTAGATTTTAAACTGTAATTTAAAGGAAAACTGAAGAAAATTTGCTTTAAAACAGAAAATCCCATGTGTTATACTTGGGTATGAAATTTATTTCATTCGTCAGATAGGGAGTTTTAAGCATGTAGTTTGTGAATATCCCCCCCCCCAACCTAAATACAAAAACAAAGGGACCCCCCTCCCCCAGCCCCGTTAAATAGATCTACCATGTCCAGCTATAAAGCATTGAATATTCTCTCTCTCTATATATATGCTATATTTGCTTCTTGATCTTAGAGAGAGAGAGATAAAAGACAGCATTAAAAAAAATTAATTGTCTTTTCTCTCTCTCTCATAGTACTACAGTCATACAATAAAAAATCAATTAGATTCTGGAGATTCCTTTAGTTTTGTCCTGCTTTGGATTTTTAATGTCTTTTACAAACATTTTCAGTTATAGTAAAGTATACGTATAATATTTGTCGAGGAATGAATCCATCTTTTAGATCACTGTGATACCAAGCTTAGTTTCAAAGTTCAAGGTGCACATTTTCTCACCATGTGTAACAACCATGCAGGACAAACTATATATAATTAATTGTGAAGTAAATGCATGGAATACTTCTTTCTTCGGCTTCATAATTTTTTTTCTGTAATATGAATAAAATTCGGTCTGATACAGATAGTTTAGTTTTGAACACGCCTTTAAAATGCTGGTATCGCCCTATTTTCATAAGACTAATGAAAGTGGATTCGGAAAGAAACACTCATTATTATTTCCGTATACATGTATACAATGAAATTCTTCAGATTAGCTGTTTACGCTCTCGCAGAGAAATTTTGACACGTAGTAATTAATTCTTTTTTGGAAGTTGTATAAAGTGATATAAAATGATGGTAGACAGTCTACAAATGTGCGATTCATAAAAATGAAATCAAATTGATATTTAAAAGGAAAATAAATTAAAATCTTAACAACAACGGTACAGCTTTTTTTATTTTTTTTTTTACATGTACATTAAGTCTACTATTTTTTCACTGGCGTTTTGTAAGTAAATTGAAGAGCTGGCACTAGGGTGAAAAATCAAGTGATTTTATCCTCTTTACCTTACTAAAGAAAGAGGGCGTACAAGGCGAGGACAATCCCCCGCTCTGGGACAATATTTTTCTCAATTTTAAAAGTTCACGGAAAAGTTGTATTTTTCTTAAATTATGTTTTCAGTAGTGGTCAAGGCGTTCAGTCTTACGCCATACTGCGAGCTTTAGAAAGAGTTTGAATTATGTCTGAAACTCTTTTTTTTCACATACCTTAAAACATACGTGAAAAATAAATTATTTATCAATAAGTTATTCAATAAAATGAAAGAAGCAAATGTGTAAAAGATGAAATTGACAATATAATTTTTGAAAAACGTAACTTTTCATGAACTTTTGGAACTTGAGAAATGTCTTCTTTCAGCGCGAGGGCTAAAACATTCATCCACAGCAATGAAATGTTTTAGCTTAGACATGAAGACCATCAGACGTTTGGTTACAGTCTTTAATTAAGACGTAGCAATGATATTATTACACACAAAGCATGTCAACCGAAAGCAATACATGTATATTTGAGATCATTAACAATTTTTACAATCTGAATATAACTGACGTATGTACATAAGTATATAAGTGTATTTATAACTGTATCTATGATTATATAATAAGCATTGATGAATATTCCACTTAATGTTTTGTTTGTTTTTAACCATTATGAAACTCCTCCCAATTTCTTTTATTTTTTTATTTAGAGTGACATAATAATTAATACAAAGTCCTCCAGAGGGTGAATCCCATATGGCGGATCGACGTGGAGCAGTTCTACTAGCCCTAATATTTATGTCAATGATTCATTTTTCACATTCTGGTAAGTTTTGCTTGGACTCTTGAAAGTAGAATTAGGAGGGAAGATTCCTAGAAAATTAGACTCAGCATATGTTCTTGTATAATGTCTGCCGTTCAGTCAATAAGGAATTCATGTAATATTACAGCTGAAGGTGACAAATTAAAACAACACAAAAAGTAGCTGTAGAAATTAGAATGTTCAGAAGATATCCTGCTTCCGAATCGATTTTCAAAAAAGTTCAAAAAAGTCAAGGTTGAGAGAGATAGAGAGAGAGAGAGAGAGAGAGAGATGCTTTCCCAAAATTTTTTTTATCTAAATTTGTCTTTTTTTCAAAAAAAATGAAGTGTTAGGACGACTATACTGACTGTAGTATTTACAGTCACGTTGAAGGCGTGATTGGTCGTAGAAGCCTCGTTTTGAGGGCCTACTGCAGTACTCATTCCGATTAAGAGCGAAGAAGAAAAGTAGCGCACGTAGCATGGATGTAGTAATGAAGTAGACTGGGCGCACATGTCCCCGTGCAAGTGTGAAAGGATCGTAGTCTCATCGTGAGACCAGTGTAGTCACGATGAAACCACGCTTTCCTTTCTCTATGATTTTGCTACGAAGCAACCGCTCCCACAACGATCCTTCCAAGACTTAAAAACGATATTCTTCGATCATAAAATACGTCGACTTCGCCATGAAAATTTTGTGAATGTTCTAAATTGTCTTAGTTCTTCAACACTCTACACGATCTTCCACGATGATCGATGGTTCACGTTCCATCACGATTTACATGCACGATCTATCACGTTCTTCCACGCTCTACAATCTTTCACGAACAATAACGATCGCACTGGTTCTAAATACGTTCCCGAACCCTTCGGCACGATTTTGTGACATTGTTGACCTTTTATTACGATTCTACTAGATTTTAGAGTCGTAGCGCGGTCTTTGTCCAGTGTGAAGGGAGTTTTAAAACGAAACCCTGAAAAATAAATGTATAATATATTGATCCAATTATTATGTTTCTTTTACAGTATAAACAACTTGAATTTTATTTTCAATTGAACTTAATTTCATTAGATCCTTTTTTTTTCTTTTCTTTTTTTTTTTTTTTTTACATTTTTGTTTTGTTTTATTTTCCAGACACATTAACATGTACATCATCCGTGACGACCATAAATTTGAATCCTTCAACCGATCCGTATAAAACCTACAAATATCCTGCAACCGGCCTGTATCCAAGGTTAGTGTGAAGTAATAACCTACCTTACTCTGTATTTAAAGCAGAACAGAACAGATGGGCCAAATTGTTCCTCAAATCCAATTTGTTTGAAACTTTGATATTTGATAACACACGGATATATAGGGAAAAAATCTTGAAAAATATAATTTTTCTCAAGAACAGCAAAGCTATGTTTAGTCATATTGATATGGAAGTATCTTGAGGTAGTGTAGATTCAAGTTTGTTCAAATCATGACCTTATGGGGGAGGATGGGGCTACATCTATAAAAAATCATGACACCTTAGAGCAAGGTGGGGTCACAACAGGGATCAAAGTTTACACAGGAATATATAATTTATCAAAAATCTGCTGACAAAGAACAGCAGGACCATTGACTCAGGTGAGCGTTGTGGCCCACGGGTACCTCTCTCTCTCTCTCTCTCTCTCTCTCTCTCTCTCTCTCTCCACTTTAATGTGGAAAAGCCTCTTGATGAAATGTGAAGATAACAAACAGTGATCACACTCAAAAGTTCATTTAAACAAAACAAAGTCAAAGTGTGTAGATCAAACACGGACCTCTAAACACAAACAAGGGATCAATTTCTTGTTGTTTTTTCCCTCAAGTCTTTAAGCTTAAATTTACGAAGTGTTAATATTCCGGAATTAACACTGCATTTTTTTTTAATACAAATGCTTTATTTAGATGAAAATGAATATATGTAATAAAATGGCTCAAATTTTGACAAAATGAATTTTTAAAAATATGTGTACTTGACTTTCATTTTATAAAAAAAAATAATCTTTGAAAATCAGAAGTCAAGAATAGTGTTGAAGATATATGTTTCTATGACTAATCATTTAAAAATGTTAAGCCTAGATTGATATAATTATCAAAAATGTAAGGGGCAATAAGTATATGGGAAATTGTAATTTAATTCTTGTTTTATATAATATAATCTTTTTCCAGGTCTAGATACAATATTAAGTACTTTTTTAATTTTAACGATGCATACCACAAACAAATTTTCATATCTTCCGCATAAAAGAGTTACACTAACATTTTTTCCGGAATTTGCAGTGGTTTTGTGTATACATTGGTTCCTATTTTATAAAGCCGGAAAGTGTAGTTAATGTAAACATGTGCAGAACGAAGTTTGGGAAATTTACTATCAAATCCAAATATAAGCGTGTAAGAAAGGCGTTTGAAGGAAAAAAGAAGCAGCAAGGTATCACAATAATCAATTTTGACGAAAATAATCATATATTTTCGGACAGCATGCAGACTTTAGAGGGGACAACTGTTTCTTGACCTTGTTCAATAAATTTCTTTTTTCTGTGTAAATTATTTTTTCTTGCTTTAATTAGTGTGGAAAAGGTACCCAATTCCTTGTTTCTTCTAAAGCAGTGCTATTGTAAAGACTTCATAAAAAATATCGACATATTTTAGGATTGTTTATACACTTTTTGCATCAATTTTTATCATTTTTTTCAATATTGATTACATTTGAAAGCCAGTAAGAAAATTTTGTTTGTCTTCAATAAAATATTTGACCCAGGAGAATGTTCTTCCTCACTTTAATATGTTGACGGTGCGACCGTTGGGGCAAGCGCATTGTTCACTTCATTTTAAGATCCCCCTCTTCAAACCGCACGAGACATTTGGAACGTCTAGACTGTGACGTCAAATGACGTCGTATGTTAGCTGCATTTCCATAAACAAAGTTGAAAAAGTGCAAATATTTTAACAAAGAACGTTTAATCTACTATCTGCATGCAATATCCATTAAATTAAGGTGAGTTTATTTTTTGTGAAATTTTAGTTGTTGTTACCGCGTGAACAAAGTTAGCAGCGAGAAAAGAAGCGATGCATTGTGGGTCCAGAATTACTGCAGAAGAAATTCTATTGAATGAATGTGCAGTAGTTCGAATTTTCTCTCCGCCCAGGCGTTGTCGTTAGACCTCGCAGTGACGAGCGGCGCTTCGCGCCGCTCGCTGAGCTCGCTATAATTACAAATTGTTCATAAAGATTAAAGAGAATAAATTGGAAACTTTTTTCAAAAATATTGAACCATAAACATACATTTTCCCACTTTTTCCCAAATTTTGGTGAATTGTTCAATCATAATCTTGTAAGTTAGTCAGATATTTTTTCTTTAGTGAGAAAGGCTTCTGAATACATAAAGATAATTCAGTTTCTTAGGAAAAAGTTTGTTTGTGTTATTTATCCTTAAGATAAATCTTTTCTTTGGCAAGACATATCAATCGTCTTAAATTTGTGTTTTTCTACAGAAAATCAAATACATACAGAAAGTTCTACAAGAAATTAAATGACTCTAATAAAATAACCGGTATTATATAAATATTGCATGTAGTTGAGTGTTACATTGAAAAATTTTCACCCCAAGAAAACCATTGTCAACCGAGGCGCAGCCGAGGTTGACAATGGTTTTCGAGTGGTGAAAATTGTCAATCTTACACTCAACTACATGAAATATTTATTATACCGAATGTTTTATACATATAACAGTGAACCTTGTGCGCATAAATTCTGCGCAGTTACTATTTTTTGGAATATCACCCGTCGTCAAGCGATGTTGACTGAACATTGCTACGCTGGCCTGGAGGACGTGGCTTTATCATTCAGCGGGCAGTGGTGTTTTTTAACAATTGTTTCTCGACGAATCAGATTCAACTTATTTACTTGAAAGTATAATATTTAATTCTTTTGCAGCACAACGACATGTCAATGGTTAATTCAAGCCACTGATGCTAGTTCGAGGATAACATATGAAGTCACCAGTGTTAATGTGGATTGTGGAGACAGATTAATGTTTTATGACGGTTAGACATATTTTCTACTAATATGAAGTAAAATGCTTAGACCCATGTTACATGTACTTTCGATTCGAACTTTGTGCCTCTGCTCTTCAACGAGCGATACCATTCAAAGAAGTCGCTATTACCCTGTCTAATACTTACTGATTCACACAAAGAAAGGTATTCTACACATAATACATGTGATAGAGCAGAAAATATCAAACATTTCTTCGGTCCAAATTTTCTTTTGACTTTATTTAAAACAATTATCAAAAAACAGTATACAGCTGTTAATTGGATTTGAGGACGACAGTTCTAATCTTGGAGCTGAGAAGGTGACTTTAAGTTACGAGCAAATTACAAAGTTAGTCATCTATCCATCATCAATAGCGACAACTATACGGATAAAACAACAACATCTTGATACAATATAATACAAAACATATGAAAAATGAATAATTATTATGTTGAGGAAAAAATCGATATGAATTAATTTCATTCCAAGTTCATTGCATTTTTAATTACATGTAACCAACAAAAAATAGTTTTGTTGACGCTTTGAACATGCATAAAATGAAACGCTTATTATTTAGGGTATTTCGCGTTCCGGTCGAAACCTTAAAATCAAAATTTGAGTTCCGGGTTTTGCTGTAATATTGGTTCCGGCCTTCGATTCAATGTATCAAATCAAACACATTGAATCAAAATACTGATTCTGTCAAATATGTTTTAAACAGTATAATTCTAATTTTGCTGTGTTTTAAAAAATATGTCACTATATGTCTTTAAGCAATTGAATTGCGATCTTTAATTGAATATTAAGAATTAATTTTATTTTAAGTACTACAACCACACTGTTAATAAATAATGTAAAAAAAAAACAAACCCCACCCCCACCCCCCAAAAAAGCGAAGGTTGGTGTACAGAATAAGTATTGTAGCTTTGTTAGTGTTCTAACTATTTCATATCTTTTCCTTTTATATACTTTTATGCTAATTACGTCCAAAACTTTTTGCTCAGATTTTTAACAGACTACAGTTCCTCTCATTGTCACCAGAAAAAGGACAGCGAAATGGGAGGGATTAGGGTCTTTAGGGATGGATTAGCGTCTTTAGGGAGGGATTAGGGTCTTTAGGTATTAGGGTCTTTAGGGAGGGATTAGGGTCTTTAAGGATGGATTAGGGTTTTTAAGGAGGGATTAGGGTCTTTAGGGAGCGTTAAGGGTCTTTGGGGAGGGATTAGGGTCTTTAGGGAGGGATTAGGGTCTTTAGGTACTAGGGTCTTTAGGGATTAGGGTCTTTAGGGAGGGATAGAGCCTTTACGGAGGGATTAGGGTCTTTAGGGAGGGATAAGGCTAGGAAGGGATTAGGGTCTTTAGGGAGAGAATAGGGTCTTTAAGGAGGGATTATGGTCTTTAGGGAGGGATTAGGGTCTTAAGGAGGGATTAGGGGGGCCTTTAGGGAGGGATTAGGGTCTTTAAGGATGGATTAGGGTTTTTAAGGAGGGATTAGGGTCTTTAGGGAGGGATTAGGGTCTTTAAGGAGGGATCAGGGTCTTTAGGGATGGATTAGGGTCTTTAGGGAGGGATTAGGGTCTTTAGAGAGGGATTATGGTCTTTTGGGAAGGATTAGGATCTTTAGAGAGGGATTATGGTCTTTAGGGAGGGATTAGGATCTTTAGGGAGGGATTAGGGTCTTGTAGGGGCGTAGCTTGACTTTAAATTCTAGTGAGGCAAAAGAACAGCGGCAGGGGTCCGGGACCGCCTTAGGTTGAAGGGGGGGGGGGGTCAGGGGGCGGAGCCCACCGACGGAAAATAGATTAAGGGGTTTTAGAATACTTGTCTTGCACAGAAACTTCGTCAATTTTCCGTTTTCATTATCGAAGACTTCAGCGTGCATATGATGCTACATACATGTGTATTGTGAAACTTCTAACACATAAGGTGAATAGACATTTTATTTCACCTTTTTTTAAAAACTTTAATTGCCTGATATTTGGTGATGTTTGGAGTCAGCATATCTATTGAGGATATTTGAAACTGTCTGGTTTAGTGAACAGACCGAACAGGCGATGATTATTATTATAGATTTAAATAAATTGCCATTAGTTTTAAATTAAAAAAAATATTTTCTACATTGTATTGATTATAATGGGAGGGAATGGTGGTGGTGAAAAATTTAGCGAGGCAGATGCCTCATTGCCACAATGGAAGCTATGCCCCTGTCTTGTTTTCGATTATAATTTCAGAAAAATATTTAGTGATTAAATATATTAACTTCGGTATTAATATCATTACAAATTAATTCAAATTGATTTATTTTTGCAATCTGATTAAAAAAAAAAGGTGTTAAGTACAAGTAGAATTATGTATGTACACAGTATTATACATGCATTCTCTAGACGTACATGGTAGCCGGATCAAAGACCTAGATAAAACTTAACTATAACAGTCTCCCGTGCGATATTTTTTTTTTGTAATTAAAATACATGTTACAAATACTAAAGAAGATGCGACCCACATTCCTCTTGTCCCCGAAGCGGTTAGCATAATTATATATATATATACACCCCTATACGTTGAAAACGTCTCCCCCATACTTTGTAGCGATTCCCCCGCGTTATCGGTATATGGTATTAATAGGTTTTTGCCCAGAACGAATATTATGGCCGGATCCAAACTTACATGTGCGCGGGCCGGAACCTTTATTATTTTGGTGTTTTGCTTTCCGGCCAGAACGGAAATAACTCGGAACCAAAATTATGCGACACCGGGCCAAATGAGAATAGTAGCTATTCGCCTTGGGCGAGTATTCCAGATGGCGTTTATTTTTAATCTACAGAGCAAATAGTTAAATTATCCTATTACCTATATATAGGAGTTAATTACATGAAGGTACTTGTATTAAATCAATGATTATCACAAAATTTAATGTAAGAAGTATTATACCCCCATAAAACCGTTGTTTACACGGTGAATTCGTTCATAAATAATATATAACAAGAACTAAGAAATGTCCTTGGGCGAATTTTTTACTGAAGAGCTATACATGTAACAAGGTACAAGCAATGACTGGTTTATTATTGAATTCTGTTTTTTATACCAATAACAAAACAATCCCGGTTGTTTAACTATGAAGAAACCATCATGTTTACAATTTATTCACTACAATCCTGGTTGTTTAACTAAGAAAAAGTCATCAAGTGCATAATTTATTCACTACAATCCTGGTTGTTTAACTATGAAGAAGTCATCAAGTGCATAATTTATTTACTACAACTATGAAGAAGTCATCACGTTTATAATTTATTCACTACAATCCTGGTTGTTTAACTATGAAGAAGTCATCACGTTTATAATTTATTCACTACAATCCTGGTTGTTTAATTATGAAGAAGTCATCACGTTTATAATTTATTCACTACAATCCTGGTTGTTTAATTATGAAGAAGTCATCACGTTTATAATTTATTCACTACAATCCTGGTTGTTTAACTATGAAGAAGTCATCACGTTTATAATTTATTCACTACGTATACAATCCTGGTTGTTTAACTATGAAGAAGTCATCACGTTTATAATTTATTCACTACAATCCTGGTTGTTTAACTATGAAGAAATCACCACGTTTATAATTTTTACTATCAGGAACAAGTGAAGATTAAACAATTTCTAGAATTATTACTTAAAATTCAATAAACAAAATGATGATAAATACGTTTTGCGTACATGGAAACAAAAAGCATTATGATTTATTTCTTTAAAGGCCGAGGTTTTCAACCGGTCGGTTTTCCTCAGGTAAGTTTGGTGTGGGGTGGAGCTTAATCGAAGCGGGTGAGAAGCCCCGAGGGAACGACGCTGGCTTGTGTATACCTACCTATATACACAGGATGTTACCTGTATTACATGTACACGTTTTCCTACGACATGGTAAAACAATGTCATTGTTTTTTGTTGTGTGGGTCAATCGAAATGTTGACCGTCAAATTTACTAAATAAGGCATGCGAAATATCTTAGTTGCGAACAGAATCTTACTTAAATTCTTTCTTTTGAAAATTTTTTTTTTTTTTAAATAATTTGACGATTTTAATTATACTGTGTGTTTGTTAATTAATATTAAATGTTATAACGAATATAGGGCCACAATCTGCCGTTGTATGCTGGCGACACTAAGGGAAGTAATTCAAATTGCACGTCGTGCATGCAAAACGAAAACAGAAAGTGGGTCATAAATAAGTCTCTCAGTAAAAATAAAACTTAGAAACGCTGTTTGGAGGCTACATTTTGTAGAAATATAATAAACTAAATAAATATTTTTGAAGATAATTCCTACGTGATTTTTCCAGGACGCATGATCTGTATAAAAATGGCCAGGGCTTCGGACTAGGGGTGATTTCCCGACGACTAGCTATTACCCGGTGAAACGGGAATGGAATCGCCTGCATCGTAAACTTTTTTCCCCTTCGGGATTTATAATTTCAAATATTATATGAAAGCAAGACGTTATAATCCGAATAATTTCTCTTCTAAAACTGATTATTATACCGTAACTTCGTCACCCTGTCTCGAAGAAAAGCGACACGTCTACTAGCACAATTGTCTTATATAAAATTTCGCTTGAACAATATTGCAATGTTGTCATACTTGTTTTTAAAAAATGATTTTATTTACTTACATGATACTTCAAACGCGGGTCGGTAAACGTTGTTAAGGTAGACTAAATGTATCAATTAAACTATGTTTTGACAAATTATAGTTATCGATTGTAATCGTGAAATGACCCCCCCCCCCTTTATAAATTTTAATATATAAGCATATTTTTTCTTATCATTTTTTTAATTATATGACAGAATTATTATATTTATGGTATATTCTTATGAATTAAATAAAAAAATGTTTTCATTGCTTCTTTATCACGTTATCATTTGCGGTAAGCATCAAAAACCTGAATGTAAATTCGATGGTCGGTACGATCTCCAGACAAGGTACACAAGATATACACAATGGCAGAAAACTAAATGTCAATCAAATCCAAGTATCCAATCCCAGGCTTAATTTCAGATGATTGACAGGGGTTCACAGACCAGGTAAATTTGAAGGAGGTGCTTATTTCCTCCCCCTTTAACTAACAATTTGAAATTAATTTTGTGTCGAAGCTTAGAACGTGCTATAATGCAAACAAACTGCTTCGGCAACCCTATATATTAGGAACGAATGCATTTACTGACGACTTGATGGTGCAAATAGTCCAGAGAGAGTATTTTTTTATGCTATACATGTACTTATCGAATATTAATTACTCCATAGTTAAACTCTGAAATAAGAGTAAATTACATTAGTACATTCAAATAAAATAAAAGAAAATATTCTTATATCCATGTATTTAATCTGTCTTGATATTTTCTCTCAAATTGCCAATCATTTCAATAATTCAGGGACATCTTCAAGTGCTAGCGCCATTGGCGGCTCTGTGTGTTGTTCCTCATCCTCAAGTTGTGGTTCCAGTAAACCACCACAAACAACAACCGGAAACAGCCTCTTTTTGCAACTAGATTCCGATGGGACTGGCAATTCTTACGAAACAGGATTTACAGTTACTGTTGTCGTTGGAAAAGATGAATGTAAGAGAATTATAACAAATTGTAAAAATATATATCAGTATATAAATATTGCATGTAGTTGAGTGTAACATTGCAAAACCATTGTCAAACGAGGCGCAGCCGAGGTTGACAATGGTTTTCGAGGGGTGAAAATTTTCAATGTTACACTCAACTACATCCAATGTTTATTATATTACACTGAATGTCTTATACAACTAGTATTAATTGTAACGGGGACCGTTACAGATGTTCCCCAAACGCTCCCCAACTTCCTTTTGGTCTCTTATTCCCTGTAAGCTTCATTAAATAAGGCAATCAAGTATATTGGGTTTTTTTACGCATTACACGCGCGCGCACGGACATGCATGTACAAAATGACCATGTCAACTTGTCTACACTTTTAATACATCTTTATATTCAAATTCATCAAAAGATTAAAAAAAAATCGGCTATATTAAGTATATCTGTCATTTAACGGATTGCAAGCGCGCGCACGTGCATGCATGTCCATGAAGACCATGTCATCTTGTCAACACTATTAATATGTCTACATATTTTGAGTGTCAAAGCATTTCAACAAAAAGTATAAAAGTTACAGCTATATCAAGTATATTGGTCATTTTAGCATTGCATGCGCGCGCACGTGCATGCATGTGCATGTTGACAATGTCATCTTGTCTACATTTATAATATGTCTATATATTCTGAGTATCAAAGCATTACATCAAAAAATGTAAAAGTTCTGGCTATATCAAGTATAATGGTCATTTTACTCATTGCACGCGCACGCACGTGCATGCAAATGCATGCATGTGCGCGCTGATCATGTCATTTTGTCTATACTTCTAATATATATTTATATTCTGAGTTTCAAAGCAATTCATCAAAAAATATACAAGTTAAGTCTATATCATTTGTATAGGTTATTATAATCATTGCGCATGCGCACACGTGCATGAATGTGCATTCTGACCATGTCATCTTGTCTACACTATTAATATATCCTGATATCCTGAGTATCAAAGCATTTCATCAAAAGATATGAAAGTTATGGCTATATCATGTATATTTGTCATTTTACTCATTGCACGCGCACGCACGTGCATGCATGTGTGCGCTGATCAAGTCTTCTTGTCTACACTTCTAATATATATATTTTTATTCTGAGTTTCAAAGCAATTCATCAAAAAATGTACAAGTAAAGTCTATATCAATTGTATTGGTTATTTCAATCAATGCGCATGCGCGCACATGCATGCATGCGCATTCTGACCATGTCATGGTGTTTACACTATTAATATATCCTTATATTCTGAGTTTCAAAGCATTTCATCAAAAAATATAAAAGTTACAGCTATATCAAGTAAATTGGTCATTTTACGCATTGCACGCGCACGCACGTGCATGCACGTGCGCGCAAAATGACCTTCGTTCCGCAAATCTACATAACATTCCTATTAACCCTAAAAAGGTTTCACCTCAATCGGATGTGTAGTTTCGGAGATCACTCACGGACAAAAAAGTACCCAGGAAGAAAAATAATAATAATAACTAGACTCTTGTTGCCATGGCAACAAAAAAGTCTTCCGTTCTTCTAAATCTGTAAGAATTTGCTTTTTTCTGTGTCAAAAACATACATATCATATTAACTGTGAAAGAAAAAATAACTGGAAAAAAGTCCTTTCAGTACTTATGGTACTTTGATTTTCATGATCAATCTTGTATAATGCATTTGGCACCTATGAGAGATATACGTATATCATAGAGCAAGGATGATTAGCAATTTAAAAAAATTGTTTGCAATCATTTCTAAGACAAACAGACGAACGAACACCGTACTATCAGCTATCAAGATTTGACAGCATACCTATAAGAAAGATTATTCAATAACAGTAATTATTAAGCAATCGATTAATTGATTGATTTATTATATGTTGTTTACGTCCCTGTCGAGAAGTTTTCACTCACATGGAGACGCCACCGCTCGCCGGAGTATACTTATACTTTGGCAATTATCACCATTGAGCAGTGAATAATCTTTTTTGTGCCAGCACCTTCTGCGACACGGGACCTCGATTTATACGATCTCATCCCAAGGACCGGTCTCCACGTCCCACAATCGAAGTTTATTATACCGCGATATTTTATTTTATTTTATTTTTTCACAAGTTTGTTGCATCAGATGTACTTAAAGATCATACTTCAAGATCATTTCGAACTCAGGCTACTTTTTTGCAGTGCATACAGCGTCAGGTTATTTTGATTGACAGGTCAACACACGTGCACTTCGTGTAATACTTTTTAAGCAGAAAAATATACAGGATGTGACCATGACTGACTATGAAATCAAAAAACATTTAATAAAGAATGGGTGTCACTGATATAGAACTAATTTTTGGTCTATGTAAATGGAAAGGAGGATCGGGATTAAGAGGTAATCTCTCTCTCTCTCTCTCTCTTCCTCTCTCTCTCTCAGACATGTAAATTGAACATTTCAGTATCATAATGACAAATCTACCATTATAGAATATGAAATTCTGTAAACATGTAAATGTATTTATAACCACATGTTCCAGATTTAAATCTAAAACGATTATATAATTCAAATGCCTAGCTGCACTAACATCTCCAAATATTAATCAAGACCGAGGGGGGGGGGGGGGGGCGGGGGCGGCTTCAAAGGAATTAGATAGTTTTATGTTTTATGAATTATAAGGAAAAGTACAGGTCAGTTGCATGTACAATGTACATAATTATATATAATTGCATAAAATTGTGTTCATTCAGGTATACTCATCCCACATATCAACAGACCTGTGCAATTTTTTATCATGTTTTTTTTTTCAAAAGAAAGATATTGCGAAGCATTATTTCACACAGAATCGCGTTTTCACATATTTTTTTTAACTCTGTGTATTTCACAAGAATCCAAGAATCGCCTTTCACATCTTTTATAACTCCTTGGGTATATAGAGTATAGATCATGTGTCATAAATAATTCAACTTTTTATCAAATATACATGTAATAACCAAATCTAATCTATAGATTGATTTTCTTTCTTTTCAGTGGCAGATATCAATTTATTTATAAAGGCTTTAAAACAGTACTGTATTACAATTTTCTATCGCTTAATTCCTTTTTTGAGTGTATGTAATATTTTTTAATATCGGAAATAAAACTCGGAAATCGGGATAATTTCGCATTCAAATCATAGAGAATAATAAATCGTCTGCATTATAGAAAGCTTATAACTATCGTATTCTGAACTTAGTATACGAGATAGATAAAATTGCATGCCTGTCCATCACTATAAATGTATATTCAGTGCTTATAATATATTTAATTGAATTAGCTACCAATAGCTAGCATATATATTAATTTTTGTTTTAGATATATTCATGTGTAAATCAATTAACTGTCAAAACAGACTTACACTCCACTGGCAACTTCAAACTTTACATGCACTGGAAGCGGTAATCAACGTACTCTTACATTTAGAAGATTGAATATGGAACGTCTAAATATTTTGATATGGAGAGTGTATATGTCTCTGACGTCATCGATACTATTTCCGCCTTTATCTCGAAAGTTCTATTCTCACTTACAAGTCAGAGTTATCTTTCTTTGCCCACTGTATACACACTAGGTAAATAGGGAAAATGACGGTACCGAAAATCTACAAAATGTGGAATCTGATTTCAAAACAAATTATATATTTAGTATTTGTAGAAGAACCTCTGTTATACATA